TAATTTTTTCGTTTAGATTTTTTATCGAACCTTTGATACGCACCCGCACACCCACACACGCACCCGCGAGAGGGTATAAAAGACAAAAAAAATTACGTAAGTAAAAACTAATAGGAAATGAATGAATTTGGAATGAGTAATTAAATGAGGTGAATAAACTTCCCCTCCACCCCCCCCCAAAAAAAAAAAAAATTAATTATTAACCAACCTTTTTTGTAAACGAAACGAAAGAAAAGAAAAGTAAAGAAGAAAAAAAAGGATTTTTAGTTTCCAAGGTTGAAAATTCTTGTAATCAGACAAAAGATTAAAAAAAAAGTTAATTTCATTTGACGTTTTTAACTTAAAACAAAACCTTTTCGCCATTTTATTTTTTCTTCCTTGAATTAAATTTTATTTCATACCTGAAATTTTATTTTGAAAAAACAAATTCTTCCACAATCGAATTTCGTTTCCGCCATTTATTGTTTGTTTGTTTTTGTCTTAAACGATTCGTTTCCATAGGTCAAATGTTCATCCCAAATAAAATCATCCCAGAAAAAAATTTAAAATTTTTTTCTTTTTCTGTCGAACCTGAAATTAAAATTTAATTAACGACATAAAAAAAAAATTTCCTCCACCGTCGCCATCATCGTCGTGGCACTAAAATTAAAAATTTTACAGAAAAAAAAAAAATGATAATCGAAACGTGTCAAAAGATATTTGTAAAACATTTACAATAATAATAATAATAATCGATAGAAGAAAAAGTTCACAAACCTTTTTAATTTACGTAATTATTATTATTATTATTTTATTTTTTCCGTTATAAATTTAATGCTTACCTTACGACGGTAAATTTTTTCTTTTTTCTTTACCATTTTCTCAAGTTTTTCTACTTAACTTTAGTTGTTGTTTGTTTAAATAAAATTTCCCCAACGCGTTTTTGTTTTTCTCTCTTTCTTTTTCTCATTATTATTATTATTATTTAAATTAAAATCAATTTTCAAAAATTTTTAATTTTTTTAACACCATAATAATAATACCCGAAACATTTTTAAATCCAACTCGAATTTTGTTTGTTTTGACAAAACTTACGAAAAAAATAAAAATAAAAAATTTTATTTTTACTGCCACGAACAATTTCCGACTGTAAAAAAGGAAAAAAAGACACAAAGAATTTTTTTTTTTTTTTACGATTCCTACAACCAGTAAAAAAATCACAAGTAAAAAATTTTCCTTACCCTTAGTTTATTACAACCGACATCTTGTTTTTTCGTGACAAGTGCCACGTTTTTTTTTCCTATTCTACCACTTTTTTCGTATACACAACCTTATGAAATTTTTAATAGACTCACGGGTACATAAAAATAAATTTTTTTTGTTTTTAATGTGTTCACATCATTTTTAAAAACCAACAACCAAAATGGCGTCTTTCGTCCGTGCGTGCCTACGTGCATGTTTGTATTTTAATAATATAAAAAACCCGTTAATCCTTAAAACCTTAACAATAATAATAATATTTAATGTAAAATGAAATTTTTTTTACTTAAAAAATCATTTTATTACTACGAAAAATAAAATAAATATGGCGGAAAATGAAAATCTTAAAGCCGAGTATGATATATAAAATGTTTGCGCATCTTTTCTCGTTTGTTTGTTTGTTTTCCGATTGATAAAAAAAAATTTTCATATAATTAATAATATTTCATTTCCTTCGTTTACAAAAAAAAATTTTCTTATCTATTAAAAATTAATATAAACTTTTCGAAAGTTTCTTCACACGTTTAAAAACTCCCCCCACACACACACACACAACAAAAATTTCATTATTATTATTATTATTTACTGTGTATACATCCGTGGTTAAATTGTAACTGTTTGTAAATAACACGACAGGTTCAGTAAAAAAAAAATACACATAAAAGCAAACCTAAATAATAATAATGTATGATAAATAAACGGGGAAGGGGATGAAAAAATGTTCAGTAAAAAAAAAGGAAAAAAGGTAAATTTATTACTGTACATAAGCGAAGTATAGAAAAGTACAGTAAAAAAAAACTCGTAGTAAATAATTTACGATATTTTTCGTCCAATGAAATTTTTTTTTTTTAAAAACCATTTCACGATTATTATTATTATTATTAAACTTTTTTTTTTAAACGAAAAAAAGACGACTACTTTTTCTAATTTATAATTTATTTACGGAAAATTACGGAAAAACAGTTTTCCGGAAACGTTGTTGTTGCCACTTTTGCATAATTTTACGGTTTCATTCGTCGAATTCGTCTTATTAAATTTCACAAACGACAGACACTCCTTTTCCGTTTTTTTATTCCTTTGAACTCCCCTTTGGCCTTTTACAAAAAAAAAAAAAAAATTTCAAACGAATTTTACGTCTATTGACACGACGGATATAAAATTAAGTATTTTAATTAATGAAAAACAACTTATGAGTATTTTTTTTTAAAAATGATTTACGACACCCGCATGTAATCGTAGTAAATTTTTTTTTTTAAATTTTAAATAGTTAAGGGGGTTAAATACGCGTTAATATTTTATAAATTATCATTATTATCGTTTAAATAATAATAACAATAATAATAATAATAATAATTACTTAGTAAGTTATTAACAATCAAAAAACTTTTCTCTTCATTTTTGTCGTTTAATTTTTTAAAAACTTTTTTTTTGTTTTTGTTTTTGTTTTTTTTGTCAATCAGAAGCAGAAGAGAAATTTTTTTTAATATGTCAAAAGACCTAAAGTTTTAAAATGTTTCGTTTCAATAAAAAAAAAGTTATTATTATTATTATTAATATTTTTTTTTAATTAAAATAAAATTTTTTTAGTTTTTTTTTTCCGTTCAAATATGGCTGAAACTATGATAATTTTTTTATATAAATAAAAAATTTTTTATCAATTTTAAAAAAATAATTTTCGCGCCTTTTTTCTTGCACCCCCTCGTTTGATAATCCATTATTTTTTTTCAATTTACAAAAATTTAATAAAAGTAAATAAAAAAAATAGGGGAGGGGGGGCTGCTGCCAAGGGAAAAGTGACGAAAACGACGACGATATTTTTTTCATTTTAACAAACGTCAATCACATTTCAAAAGCAGAAGAAAAAATAAAAGCAAACAAACGAATGTTTAAACTTTTAATTTTTTTTTTCGAGAAAATTAAAATTTTCCAGGTGAAAATAACGAAGAAAAAAAGGTTTAAAAAACCTTTAAAAATAAAATTTGACGAGAGAATTGAACAAAAAAAAAAAAAAGAAACGGAAGCGGAAAAATAAAATTAAAAAATTAATTATTTAAATAATTTGTTAGTATTTAAGAGAGATTTTCAAATGAGAAAAGGATTCATAAATTAACAAAACTTTACCTTTTCCCGTTAGTCAAAGGAAAAAGAAAATGGAAAAAGGAAAAGGAAAAATTTAAATAAAAAAAAAAAAAAAATCGCGCGTGTCGACGACGTATTATTCTCATTATATTCACTTACTTAAACGGATTCTAAACTCAAAAAGAGAGAGAGAGAGAGAGAGAGAGAGAGAGAGAATGATTTTAAAATTTTAAATTAAAAAAATTCGAAAAAACGCGCGAAATAAAAACCGGAAATGGAATTTTTTTCTAAAAATTTCCCTCGTTAATTTTTATTAAAAGGATGGGAAAGAGGAGTTAATGAAGGGAAAATTGAGGGAGGGGAGAGGGGGAAAAGGGGGGGGGGAATTTTAAAACCTGGACCTTGAACCCTTTTCAAACCCTTCCCCCCTCCTCCCCCGTTATCACTCTTATTTACAACCGCGTAATATTTCCACGTAATGAAAAATAAATAAACGTTCAAAGTTTTGTTTTTGTTTGTTTGTTGTTATTGTTGTTGTTGGATTATGATGATTTATTATAAAAGTTTTTAGTTTTTTTTTTTCTTTCTTTTTTTTTTTTCTAGAACAACAATTTTATAAATAATGATAATAAACAAAATATAAAAAAAAATTTATGAATTTGACGACGATTCGCGCGTACTCAGTCATAACCAACAACAACAACAAACATTTTTTTTTTATTTTATATTTCGGAACGAAAAATTTTATGAGGGTTGTTGTTTGTTTTTGTTATTTTTTTTTTTTTTTAAATTTACCCAAAAGAATAAATTTTACGTTAAACGACATTTTTTTTAAATAAATAAATTCGTCGCGCTCAACAAAAAAAACATAAAAAAAAAAAAATTCTTCCCTCAAGCCCGATAATCCAGTTTTTCCTAACTTCTACATGGGGGGAGAGGCGGGGGGCGGAGGAAAATGCGTACCAACGCGCGTAACTTTATTTATTAAACAAAAAAAAAGAAGCAACGATTCGTTAAAACTTAATTAATTTTATATAAAATTACAAAAATAATTAAATAATTTAATCATCCAATTTTCGCGCACTCCATATTATTATTATTATTACCGGAAAAACTTTAAATTTTTTAAATAAAACCAAAAATTTTATTAAAAAATACCTTGAAAACTTGAAAATGTAAAGCGAGAAAGAGAAAAAGAAAGAGAAAGAGAGAGAGAGAGAGAGTGAGAGAGGTTTTATATTAATTTCAATAAATTAAAAACGTTTTCTCTCTCTCTCTCTCTTTGATTATCCACCGAAAAAAAAACCCATTCAAATTATTATTATTATACATACATACGTACGTACACATACATAAATGATTTTTTTGTAAATGAATGAAATGAAAAGGGTCAATAGGTTAAAAGAATATAAAGGATAACAAAATACAAAAAAAAGAAAGAAAAGAAAATTACTTTATTATTATTATTATTATTATTATTTATTTATTTATCGATTCTTTTATTATTATTATTATTAATTTTTTTCTCTTTCTCTCTTTTTTTATTTTTTCTTTATTCTTCGTCTATTCTTTGAACGCATTAAACCATTTCAACGTTTTTTTTTTTTTTTTTTTCAATTTCGTTTGATTTTCATTTAATTTAATTATTAATAATAATAATAATAGTAATAATAATAATAATAATGTGGTTTTTATTTAACGTTGCATTATTTTTAATGACTATTTTATTGATTTTGATTAAGGATGTGAAAAAACCTAAAAAATTTCCGCCAGGTATGAAATTTTTTTTATTTTTTTATTCGTTTTACGAATTAAAATTCGAATCGCAAAATTTTCGCGCGCTTTTTTATTATTATTATTATCAATATATGATAAGAAGATTTTTACACCGTCAAATTCAAAGTTAAATAATATCGGGGGGAGGGGCGGAAAAAAAATGGCTTCCGATAAATATTAAATTATGAAGAAAACAATAACAAAATTTTTTATAAACTCGCACGAGTAATGATAATAATAATAATAATAATATATTATTAAACGTTATTCTGTAAAAACATATTATCATTATTATTATTATTAACATTTTTGTTCTGCTTCTGTTGTGATGGAAGAAAGTTTTATGTAAAAAGTCTAAAATAATAAACCGTAAAAAAAACGAAAGAGGGGAAGAAAAAATTATTATTATTATTATTATTTTAGTGACTGACCTTTTAACCTTTTTAATCAACCGATTTTTTTTTAAATGCGTTTTTCAATTACTTCATTAAAAAATAATAAAATAATAAAATTTTTATTAATTTAAAAGAAAAAAAGAATAGAAATCCGTTTGGTAAAATTTAAAAATGGCGGCTTTCGTTGTTTAATAATTATTTATGTGATTTAAATGCGAACGAGGTTTTTTTTATTAACGTCACCAAATTAATTATTATTATTATTAAATTCAGCCATTTTTTTTAGTAATCGATCTCTCTTAATCATAAAAATGTGATATAATAAATTTTTTTTTTTTTGTTAATTGTCGTTGACTCTCCCCAATTTCGGGGAGAATGACCAGATGGTATTTTTACAAAGGAAAAAAAACGTTAAATTTAACGACTTATCATTATTATTATCATTATTATAAAAAAACGTCTGCTTTTGTAAATGTTACGTCATTTTTTTTTTTTAGTTAAACTTACTCGAACGTCAAAATTTTTTTTTTTTTTTTTAAAATAAAATAAAAATAAAAGTTTCTAGGAATAAAAGTGACTTTTATTATTTTTTCTTCTGCTTTCACTCTCTCTCTCTCTCTCTCTCTCTTTCTCTCTCCCCCTCCCTTTCTTTCTCTTTCTCCCTCTCTCGTTAAAAAAAATATTTCGTTAGTTTTTTCAAAATAATATCGAAGGGGGATTTCAAACAAGAGAGAGAGAGAGAGAGAGAGAAAAAAAAAATGAAATCGACTGATATACGATGTTAATAAATAAATAAAAATTTTTAAAAGGTTTTATGAATTGTTTGGATCGAATAATAATAATAATAATAAAAAAAGGTTCGATAGGTTGGTCGGTTGCCTCATGTGATGAATTACTTAAAATTTTGACAGGGCAAACAGGGAAAAATGTTTTTTTAAAAAAAAAAAGTAATAAAATAAGGTTGAAGGTCAAATTTTTTTAAAAAAAGGAAATTTAATAATATTTTATAAAAACCTTTTTTCCTTTTTTTATAAATAAATAAAACCTTTTTTTAGGGGACCCTTTTCTTCTTTTTTGCAACACGGTTGGAAAATATTTTTTTTTATCGCGCACCGTCGGATCGTAATAATAATAATGATTATCATTTATTAATTAATAATTTTGTTTTTTTAAAAAGCAGAAAAATTATTATTATTATTTTTTAAACGACGACAAACTCAAATAGAAAATGAATGAATGAATGAATGAAAATTTTTCAATCGTTCATAACACAAACAATGGCATAAAATTATCACGTAAAAAAAAAGAAAAATAAGAAAAGAATTTCCCCCCCCCCATTTTTCTTTGTACGAAACTTTTAAAAAAATAAATAATCACGTGATTTATGTACATAATTTTACATAAAGTTGAAAAAAACGATTTTTGCGACAATAAAAAAAATTTGCACATAACAAAACATAATAATAATAATAATAGTACGTGATTTTAAACGTTTTTCAATCATTAAAATCGCATCCGAAAATCCCGCGAGGGGGCGGAGGAGGGGCGTTGAGGGGGGGGTGGAGAAATCGCACAAAGGAAAAAATTTTCCATTTAAATTTGCAACCACCCACTAACTCACTCACCCACCCCTTCCCTCCTCTCTCCTTTTTTTTCCGAAAAAAGAAAAAAAAATCCTCGACTCTTAAATGAATAAATAAATACCTCCTCCCTTCCTCCCCTCCGCTTTTCCCCAACCGTTCATTAACATTAATTTACACGTCATTTATTTATTTATTTATTTTTATATTATTTAAATAAATTATTAACCTTTTCCCAAAAAAAAAAAAAAATTAAAATTAATAAGGTCGTAAATCGCGTTAATCATTTTCATAATTATAATTATTATTATTATTATTATTACTCTTCTTAATATTTTAATAAATTTTTATGTAAAGAAAAGTAAAGTAAAGTAAAAGATTTTTAATAGTAATAATAATAATAAATAAAATTAAAGTAAAAAAAAAACACCGTAGAGGAAGTAATAAAATAATTTATCATTCAATTATCATTATCATTATTTAAATAAATAATTAATAAATTATTATATAATAAATAAAATTACAATAAAGTAACAAAATTTATCGTTATTGATATCCTTTCACTAAACCTTGGCACTTGAGAGATTTTTTTTTTTTTTTTTTTTAAACATTACTCATTCTTATTAAAGACCTTTTTTTTTTTCCTCGCCATTATTATTATTATTATCACTTCACACGACGATTTGTTCGAGGTTTCAATTCTAATCCCTAAGGAATAAGTGATACTAAATCAATTCTTATCGTAAGCCTTCCTGATTTTATTCCTGTTTAAGACAACATTCAGTGGAGTAATCAGGATAAGAATTATTTTGTTTTTTTAATTATTAGGTCCAAAATGGAAACCGTTTGTCGGATGTCATTTCGAAATTAAAAATTTAATTAAAAAATTGGGATATCATCATTTGGCATGGGAAGAATTATATAATAAATATGGACCCCTGGTAGGTTTAAGATTGGGAAAAGACAGGATAATACTCGTTTCTGGACAATCAAATGTGAAAAAAGTTTTATTGAACGAAGATTTCGATGCTAGACCCGATGGATTTTTTTTCAGAATGAGAAGTTATAAACAAAGATTAGGTAACGTATATTGTTTTATTAATAAAAAGAAACATTTTACTATCATTATCATTATCATGATTTCAGGTATCGTTTTCGTCGAAGGTATACATTTTCAAGAACAGAAAAAATTTTGCATGATGACATTGAAAAAATTCGGTCTGGGTAAAAAAATTATGGAAGATATAATCATGAAAGAAGCAAACGAATTGGTCTTATCGATAAGGGAAAAATCTAAAGGAAATAATAATATTTTTCAAATGAAAAACATTTTCGACATTGCCGTACTAAACAGTTTGTGGGCACTAATGGCAGGCACGTACCTTTATATATAATTTTATTCGACTCTCCCCCGAAGGGGGTGAGAGGAGTGGGGTAGTGAAGCGCGGTAGGGAAGACAGGAACGTTAGGGGGTTAAAACTCAACCTTCGCACCGACTTCGTTAGAAAAAAAATATATATATATATATTAATATCAATCAAAAAAAAACAAAAATTAATAATAATAATAATAATAATAATAATAATAATAATAATAATAATAATAATGTAATAACACTTGTAATAATAATAATAATAATTATTATTATTATTATTATTATTATTATTAAAAAAAATTTTTTTTTTTTCGAACCTCATCATCGATTTTATCGATTACCTCAAACGCAAAAAAAAAGAAAAAAAATTCCCTTAAACCTGTTACCTGTGACTTTATCATTGAATAATCTCACGAACGAACAAACAAACAAACAACAAACAATCGATCGATACAAACAACCGTAAATTTCCGTATTATTATTATTAATATTGTTGTTAATTTCGATTTGACAAGTTTTCGTATTACAAAAAAAAAAAAAAAAAAATCATTAAAGTCGACGATGAGAATGATGATGATGATAATTAATTTTCTTTTTTTCTGAATTTATCCTGAGGAAAACCTGTGTGGAAACTGAGAGCGAGAGAAAGAGAGAGAGAGAGAGAGAGAACAAAAAAAAAAATGAAAAACGATTTTCTTTTTTTTTTGCTGCCCTTGTTCTATAAAATATAAATTATTCAATAAATTACCTGTTGAATTATCATTATTATCATCATTATTATTATTTTTTCCAATCGAACTCGCTTATTAAATTATAAATGCAAACAAATCTAAAAATTATTAAACGAGATAATAATAATGATGATAAAATCGTAAGAAAAAAAAATATATATATACGTTTCGATAAAATCGATGGGAAATTTTTTTTTTTTACCCTTTGACGACGTGAAATTTAAATCGTAAATAATAATAATAATAATAATAATAATAATAATAATAATAATAATAATAATCATAATCATAATAGTAATCATAATAATAATTATTGTTAATTATGCGGGGAGGGCGAACGAAACGAAACGACAAAATAAATACAATTTCTATTTTTTTTTCTATTATTTACGAAATGATGATGATGATGGCGATGGTGATTATTATTATTATTATTTAAATTTATTTTAGGATGATAAATAAATTATTCATTTATTTATACCTTTTTTTTTTTGTTTTGTGTGGTCGATGTGGTGAGAGCGCGGGAAAAAAATGCGGCAAGACAATAGTGATTGATGGAACCGATTGTAACTCGTGTCTTATTAAATAAAAACGACTAGGTACGGTCAGTTCCACAGATGACTGTTGCTACCATTTCTATACTCGTCACCGTTTTCGATAATACCTGAAAATAAACGAAATTCATGAAATTTTCTTGTCGCTCTGTGTGTGCGGCACGATTTAAGTTCGACGAAGCGGAAAATCCCGGTTAATTTATCATCATCATCATCATCATCATCATTATTGTTGTTGTTTTTTTTCCAGGGGAAAGATTCGATTTAAACGACGAAAATTTAAGCTACCTCATGGATTTGGTTCACGAGGCTTTCAGACTTCTCGACATGTCCGGCGGAATATTAAATCAAATGCCTTTTCTCAGATTCGTAGCCCCCGACGCGACAGGATACAACAGAGTCCTTTACGTCATCAATAAATTGGAAGAATTTTTGAAAAAAACCATTCACGAACATAAGAAAAATTTAAATAACGAATCAACGGATTTGATCGACATGTTTTTAAACGAAATGAAAAATGGACAAACGAATTGTGGAAAAAATTCAAGCTTTTCAGGTTCTATCTATCCTACCGATATAGCTAATATGCTAATTTATTAAACATTTAAAACAACAACGAGTCGAATGGAATGGAAATTTTTTTTTTTTTTTTTTTCCAGATAAACAATTAATCATATTATTATTGGATTTATTCATGGCGGGATCGGAAACGACGAGTAATAATCTTTCCATGGCCATGTTGTACATGATCATGTATCCGAATATTCAAGATAAAGTTCACGAAAACATTGACTCCGTCGTAACCGGAAACAGATTGCCAAATCTTCAAGATAGACCTTTGTAAGAAAAGAAAACCGGAAATCGGGAAAAACGTGTCGCGTTCCGACGGAAAAAAACCGAAAAAAATTTTTTTTTTACACCTTCGGTTTTATTAAATCGATTTATTTCGATTAATCGAATTTTAAAAAAAAACCGGGAAAATCCGAGATTTTCCTGTCGTCGTCACGTACGACGCGCGAGTAAACAACCGACCCGACAACAACAGCAACAGCAACTCTTAATTTGATTTTATTTTTTAATTTTTTCTCATTTTTCCTCTTAATAAGAAATTAATTGTCATTTTTACAATGATCCCTCGCTTTTTTTTTTTTTTCTATTTCCCCGACCTTTTTTTCTTTTTCTTCTTCGAAAATTATTCAAAGAAATTAAAAAAAAAAAATTTATTGTCCTACGTAGGACAACAACAATTTGACGATCAGCCAGAATTAAATAATTAATTTATCTTTTTTTTATTTGTCGTCGTAATGTTGATATTTGTACGAGCTATAATAAATACACGTCGGACGCAACAACATTAAATTAATCGTTGACTACTGCTACCACCCCTACTACTGCCACTTTTTTCCCATTAATTTAAATATAATCGATTGACTTTAGTAAAAAAATTCGAAACTTTCGAAAATGTCGCCGGCAGATTCCACAATTAATCAAATTAATTCAAACGTGTACCCGAATCCAAAAAAAAAAAAAAAAATTCAGTAACTCATCCGAAAAACGCAAGAAAAAAAAAATTGGCATTAAATTTAACAAAAAAAAAAATGTCTCGACTAATTATTTGTATAAAATATTTATTCTCTCGCGTGTACAATTATAAGGTTAATGACAACAACAACAACAACAGACGCCATTTTCTTTTCTTGTCATCTCAACATCCGTTACGTTCGACTTAAAAATAACGTTTTTTTTTTTGCTCTCACTTCCGGTAACGATACCAATTTGTGCGTAAAAGGAAAAAAATAAAAAAAAAAAAGTTTAAAAATTCAAGCGTAATAAATTAAATTTAAAAAGAAAGTTTTTCCTTTTATGCTTCCACGTCACGGGTATTCAGGTACTTATTGGTAAAAAAAAAAAAACGACGACAGTCATGTTATTAAATTTTATTCCATTTTTTTTTTCTTTAAACCCAACAAGTTTCGCAAATATGGATGGCAATAACTTTTTTTTTAAAGACACCATCACCGTTATTTTTTTTTATTTTTTTTTTAGGTTGAAATATGTTGAAGCAGTTTTATTCGAGGTACAAAGGCACGGTTCGGTCGTGCCTATATCCGTACCTCACAGATCAACCAAAGACGTTTATTTCGACGACTACATAATTCCAAAAGTAATAAAAAATAAATTTTTTATTTCTTTATTTTCACTTTTAGTTCCCCCCCTTCCCCCCGTTGTAACGACACGTTTTGAATTTTTCTGTTTTTTGTTTCACGCAGGACACGATGATTTTGGTAAATTTACGAAGCGTTCACATGGACAAAAATCGTTGGGGAGACCCGGAAAATTTTCGTCCGGAAAGATTTATCGATTCCGATGGGCAAATCGTACAAAACGAATGGTTTATACCCTTCGGACAAGGTGTAAATTTTATTCTGACATTTTTTTTTTCCATTTTCTTCTTCTTCTCCTTCCTCGGAGTAAGAGAGAGAAAACGAAACAAAAAAAAAAAATCGATCGATTTCAAAATATGCCAAAATCAATCGATTCAAAATGGAGACGAAAAATTTTTTTTTATTCTCTTTCAAAACAATTATATCTATCATTTTTACAAAAAAAAAAAAAAAAAAAAGGAAAATTTAATTCGATTTATCTCTTTCGAAATAGAAAATCATAAAACTTTTTTTTTTTTTTTTTTTTTTTTATAAAACTTAATTAAGACCGATGATGATGATGATGATGGGACGACCCAGATTGAGAACAGAAAAACTTTTTTTTTTTTTTTTTTTTGAAATCTTTGACGATTATTGATTATTATTTTCAGGGAGGAGGAGATGCCTCGGAAAAGGTTTGGCTCGTTCGAGTATGTTTTTGCTCTTTTCGGCCATTATGAAAAATTATCAAATTATAAAAGTTGACAATCATCTGTCACTGACGCCTCAAGATGGAGTCACTTTATCTCCTGGACCCTTTAGAGCCATCATCAAACCGAGATTTTCAACCCCCAAGAATCCGTCTTAATATTTTTCCGACAGTTTTCCCACGAGGAAAAATCAAAACAAAACAAAAATTTTTTTTTTATTTTTATTAAAAATAATGTCTTTTAAAAAATAAACTAGATTTTTCATTTTCCTTTCTCTTTCTCTCTCTCTCTCTCTCTCTCCTTGCCCTCTCCTTCCCCCCATTTTCAGTAAAAAAAAAAAAAAAAAAAGAAAAGAAAAGAGAAGGATTTTTTAATGAAATGAATAATGTTATTGATTGACACGTTCAATGGGACATTTCAATGATAAAATCCTATTGAGATTTTTCACTTTTAGTATAACATAAACAAAAAGGAAAGAAAAAAGATTTTCCTCTATCTATCTATCTATCTCTCTCTCTCAAGTCAAAAAATGAAAGAAGAGTAAATATCTATAATGTGCAAATGTTTCAAGACGTGATTAATGCGTGCGTCGACTTCAAAAAAAAAAAAAAAATTCAATACACCAAAAAAAATTGTATCGGTTTTCCCATCGTCCCCACCCCGCCCCCCCCAACTCGAGCAAATGAACCTAATGCTTCGGCATTAAAAAAAAAAAAAAAAAATGAAAGCCTATAAAATTTTCTTATGTTATGACCTTTTTTCCTTTTTCTTTTTTTTTTTTTTTTTTTTTATTACGCGACAAAAATTTACGACCTTTGAGAGGTTTTGAATTTTGCAACCTTTTGTTAAAAACCGCCATTTTAATATAATTCAGGTTTAACGGTTTCCTTTACGTATTTGATATATATATTCTTTTTACGCGACAGGTCAGCCAACGACATCAACAAAAATAATTCCGAACCGGAAGTATGAAAAAAAAAATTTCATAAAACTTTTTTGCAGCGATTTCCTTTTTTTTTTCAAATGATATCCGCCGATCGAATGATAATTGTTTTAATTTAAAAAAAAAAAAAAAAAGTAAATAATAATAATTGACTTACCCTGTGTTGAAGAAGACATGTTTTATTTTTCCAAGTACTTTTTTTTTCCAAGAGAAAAAAATCTTTTTTTTTTCTTCATTTTTATTGTTTTTATTGAATTTTGTCCGCTTCGTAAGATTCTAAACTGTCATATTTACTAACTTCTTCTTTCACGTGATTCAACATAATTTCCAAAGCTGCGATTGCATCTTCGGCAGAATCGTGGCCACCAACTGTTGAAAAAAAAAACAACAAATCTATAATTAATTAATCAAATTCAAAAGAATTTATTTAAAAAAAAAAAAAAAAAACAATTAGATGAAAGGTATACCATTTTCTTGAATTATTTTTGAAATTTTCCTAGCGCAAAGTTCTCTCAGTGAATACTTATATGGGTGAAATTTTTCGTGTTTGTAAAAAATGGCAGTATCGACAACCGTGTCATGTATTAGCTAAAAAAAAATAATTAAAAATAAATAGAAAACTATTTTACGTAAAATACGCTTCGTACTAATTCTCCAAACTATAAATAATCTTTAAACTTTTAACCAAATAACAAAATTTTTATGAAAATCATGATCCGTCGGGGGGAAAAAAAAAAAAAAAAAAAAAAAATTACATGCAATGCTCGTAGATCACTATCAAGAGAATGTCCTATTAATATTGTTTTATTTGAAAACATACTGAGAAGAACGGCTTGAACGTCTTTTAATGTTGTCGTTACTCCCTCCATCATTTTTTCTTCGATTCCTAAAAAAAAAAAAAAAAAAAAAAAAAAAACAAATCGATAGATTACTCATCGAAAAAAATCCAAAAGAAATTTTTTTTTTTTTTTAAATACCTGAGTAAAATGTATTGTAACATTCTATAGGGTACTTTGGCTTAACTAACGTATCATACACGATTTCTTTTTTTAAATTGACAACAGTTACACGTGCTAATTCGTAACCTAATCTCGTGTAAACCATTTCGCAGTCCAATGCGAAAACTCCCGGATCGGTTAAATCTAAAATGAAATCAAAAATTGATTTTATTATCTTGACATTTTTTTTTTTTTTTTTTTTTTTACGAGAGCAAAAGTTACGGTTGTTTTATATTTTTTACCGTCTTTCGATAGAGTTTTCACACAATTCGGAAGATTATCATAATCGTTACAATCCGTCACGTGTCTCACGTGTGATGCACATCCTTCAGTCGACGAACTGTTACAACAATTATAAATCCTCTCGGAATTTCTACCTGAAATTAAAAATTACGTTTTTCATTTCGCATCGACGTAAATTCATCGAATGTCATTTTATTAATCGTGTACCTCCTGATTTTTTCTTCCCCGGATGGTAACTGCAAGTATCAGGTCCTTCTATGTATTGTTTTAATGTAACAGGATGTACTTCGTATTCTTTAGAACATCGAACGCAGTACCTACGATTCCCCGTTAGTTTTTTTATATGCAAATAGTGTGCGTTGTATTTTAGTTCAAAGTTTAAGGTACATATTGCATAACCAGGTTTACTACCTTCTAATGGATAACTATTTGTTTTTAATTCTTCGGGCGTCAATTTACATCTGAGGAGTTCTTCGTAAATGTGTCGTTCTGAAAGTTTTTTTTCTTCTTAGTAACTGTGTTTTTCAATATATTTCAATTGATATTTTTATATTTTGAATTATTCTCACCTGTTAGCATGCTTATATCCAGTCTTTTAGTTTTTAAAACGCTAAAGTTTTTCTTTCCTCTAGCAAGAACGTCGTAGTGTGACATTTTAGGTTTTGAGGCATTTGAAGTCGTACTTCCTTTGACTGCAGAAACCCTTCTTCTAGTTTTCATCAGTAAGGAAACGAAAGAAGAATGATAAGCTGCAAGCGACCCTGAAAAATAATAATAATTTATTTACACCGACTGAATTATACAAAAAACTTCAATAAACAAACAATAAAATTTTTTTTTTTTTGCATATTTTAAAACAATGTTGAAATTGAAATCGCACCGGAATGAGCTTTGAAAACTTCTTCCTCCATTTTTAAAGCTTCTTCTTCGGATTCTTCTTTGGTCGGATAAATTTGACTTGTTTCGAGTATCAATTTGTCAAGGTAAATTTGTCTCTTTACGGGAGGAATAACTTTTGATCCAGAGGTTATTGTAGTCTTTGAGACCATATTCTAAAATTTAAAAATAAATACTCAATTATTTATAAATTCATCTTATAAATATAATCATGAGTGTTTATTTTTACCTTTGAAGAAACCGAATGAGCCACTCTTGTGCCACCTCTAGCGACGGTTTGGGCGACAGTAGGTTTTTCGTTAACTTTTGATTTTTGACTAATTTTTTCTTGTAAGGCTTTTTTTGCTTCTAACATTTGTTGTATATTTGAAACGGCAGCAATTCTCACATTCGAACCTAAAAATAAAAACCAAAAAAATTTTAAAACTGTATTTATTTATTTTTTTTTGTAATAAAAAGTAATTAATATTCGTACGATTCAATCCTGGAATTGGAGCAGAGTGAGTCGATGTTGGGACAGGGGTTGAACTTTCTTTGGCTTTTTCAATTATTTTATATCTTTCTAACATAACTTCCTGGGCGGATTTGATTGTGTTTGGCTTTTTAACGGTTTTCATTCTCAAAACTGAATGATCAGACAGAACGTCAGTAGAATGAGCTTTTCTTTTCTTTCCAAGAGTTGTACTTTCATAATCTTCGCTGGGTATCGTTATTTCATTTGATTTTTTTTCATTAGAATCTGACGGGGTTGAATAACTATTAAATATTTCCAGACATTCTTTTTCGACGGTTTCCGGATCATCATCAAAATCGTAGAATGATTCCTCTAAAACCAAAATATTTTTAAAATTAATTTAAAAAAAAAAAAAAAAAGGATTTAAAAATAATTAGTTTTTTTTTTACAGGTCAAGCACCTTCTGAAATTTTGATCAATTTGTGATCCTTATCTTTTTCATTCCAGACATTTTTTCTTTTTTTCGTATCGGATTCGTTTTCAATTTCACTTCCCTCTTCGTCTGATACGTTTTTACTACCTACATCCTTTGAAGCATCATCGTCACTGGATACTAAATTAACATTATCAATGGATTTTTTTTCAGAACTGCGGCTTTCTTTTTCCCTTCTATCAGATTTAGAATGACTATGACGGTGTCGATGTCGGGAACTCTTATGAGAGCTACTTCGGCTATGGCTGCTACTTTTCTTTTTTTTTTCGTCTGAAGAATTTTTATTGTGATCTGAAGATTTTTTACTACTACTACTACTAGGTGAATGATGTTTAGAACTTGATGAAGAATGATGTCGACTAGAACTTGATGATCGGGAAGAATGTTTTGAACTATGATTAACGAGAGTAAAAGGTAAATAAGTGACATAAAATTATTAATTAATAATTTTTAAGAATATAAATAATTTTTAATAAAAAGAAAAATTTTTTTTTGTTTACTTTGATGATTGTAAATGCCTAGACTTTGACCTAGAACGGCTATGACTACGACTCGATGACTTAGATTTATGTCTTGAACTTGAACTGTGCCTGCTCTTTGAAGAATTACAACTTTTTTCTTTTTCACTTTCTTTTTTTTTATTATTGCTAATGGATTCCTCAGTCCCTGAGATTGCCTCTTTTAAAAAATTATTAAATCATTAACTTATTTATTTCTCAAATGATGATGATTATTTGCAATTTAAAAAAGTCACACAAATTAAAAAGATTTTTTAAAAATACCTTCTTGTACATTTTGTGGTTTTTCATCTTCACTGAGTAATTTTTTCATCATTTCAATTTCTGATGATATGAAATCGAATTCAGTCCATTTACTTTGGTCTTTATCTAACCACGAATGATGATTAGAAGAATTTGTTGCTGATTTTTTAGTGGGAATATAATCAGCTACAATATTATCTACATTAGGCTGATAAGGAGTCTCACCCAAAGAGGATTTGTCTGAAGGTTTATACATAACTTCATTTTCAACCGAGGTACTCCCTTCAGGAACATATTGATTTTTTTGACATTTTTCTTTGCTAGGAACATAGTCATTGGGCAATGAAGAATCACTGCATTTTGGTTCATATTTACTTTCTGATATTGTGGTTTTACTTGGCACATAACTAGTCGAACAACCTTTAAATTATAAATAATTATTTAATTTTTAACAACAAATTTGAAACAAATTTTTTTTTTTTTTTATTACTAGCGCTAAAATGATTTTATATAAAATTAATTCGTTCAAATAATTCATTTACACACCTTCAGATAAATTACTATTTAAGCTATTTATGATTGATTTTGTGGCTGATTGTGGTTCATATGAAAGTGAATTTACATTTTTATCATCGAAAACAGAATAACTATAATGAGAATCATTAGAAGAATTTGTATTGCTAGCCGATTCGACTGAATATTCACTATTCGATTCATTATTAGTAAAATTATTAGAAATGTTTTTTAAAGTGTTTAAATTGTTATTCGAACTTGGAGTATAACTACTATTATTTTCTTTATCGACTAAATTGTAACCACCACTATATTTTTCAGTTTTAGCTAATCTATCTAAACCTGTTGAACTATGAACATTAATTTTAGCACTAACAGCTCTATTCTTCGGTTGTACACTTGTGATTTGAGGAGTAGGAGTGTATGCGCAAGGAATATGCCTGCTGGTTTTTCCATAAGGATTCGATTGGTTAACTAATTTGGCAAAAAGTGAATCGTGACTTGTTTCATTTTCTTTCGAACTTGCAGAGGAATGCTGTGAATCATTTGTCGTTATATTTTTATTTATTTCAGGTGGAACATAATTTTCAGCATTTGAACTAAGTCTGTCAGGAATATTTGTAGGACTTTGACATGAGTTATCTTGAGAATCTGAGCTTGATGAATTTTCTGTAAAATAAAAATTAAAAATAAATAAAAATGTTAATCTAAAAAAAAAAAAAAAAAAAAAACTTTTAAATTGTCAAAATCGTTAAATTTCTTTTATTGAAAATTAACAACAACAACAACAACAACTGACATTTAATTTTAATTATTTATATTAAAAGTTAACAATAAATTAAAAAAAAAAAACAATTAATAATTTTTGATTTTAATGTCTAAAATACAACAATTTTATTATTCATACCGCTTATGACTTTCTTATGTCGATAATGGCAATGAGGTCGTTCACATATATTATTGATGAAAAAAGGACAATCGTTTTTTTTAAAATAACCTCTGGACGGTAACATTTTTTTTTTTTAAATTTAATAACAATGGATAATAAATAAAATCAAATTGTCCGAAAATAATAACCAAAAATTCATTTTCATCTTAATAAACAATCACAACAAAAACATCTACGAAAATTTATTCTACTACCACGAAAGTATTAAAACCACGATCGTCAAAATTTATAATTTTTTTTTTTTTTTTTGGCGCAATAAATTTTTAATTTAACAATTATTCTCGTGATATTTAAAAAATGATGCACAATTTTTAATAAATATATATTTATTGAAATGTAATTATTTATTTTTATTCAGAGTAATTATAAATTAAAATAAATTGACGTAATTACAGGAATGCTTAAAAATATTTTTATTGACACAAATTTTAAACGATAACAAAAATAATTTGTATAAAAATAAAATGAAAGATCAAAAAATGAGTAGAAATTTTATTGTGTACGACTAAATTTTCCCTTTCAAATATTGGTAGACGTATGAAAAGTCTTTATCACCATCTCCCATTGTATTAACGAGTCTATAAAATTGATGTGTCGTAGACCCGAGAGGAATAGAAACTTTTAAACGAGTTGCAATGTCCTGAGCAAGGCCTAAATCTTTGCACATAAGTTTACTCATGAACCCACCCTAAAAAAAATTTTAAAAAATTGAAAAGGGGGCACTAAATACCTAACTTTAAAATTATTATTATAAAATTTCTTTACCTCATAATCTTTTGAACTTGGCACATTTGGCAATATATCCGGGACAGGATTGTATTTTTCAGAAGACCAGCATCGACCTGTACTCGTATTTATAATACTAGTTAATAGCTTTGGATCTAAACCAAGACTGGAAAAAAATAAAAATTATTTTTTTTTTTTAACATTAAAAAAATTAAAAATAAATTTTAAAATTAAATATTTTACCTGTTTCCTAGATTTAAAGCTTCAGAAACTCCTAACATTGTGATTCCCAATAACATATTATTACAAATCTTGGCGGCTTGACCACTTCCAGCTTTTCCACAGTACACTATATTGCTACCCATACACTCAAGTATTGGTTTTACAATTCGGTAAACGCTTTCTTCTCCTCCGACCATAAAAGTCAGAGTACCATCTTTTGCGCCAATGACACCTTAAAAAAAACCGATCGGACTGATTACTTCGGTTGTGAAGTACCCAAAATTTTACTTAATTAAAAATTATCCGAATAGAAATAAAATCTTGAGGGATGTCAGAGGAGGGTAACTCACCTCCAGACACAGGAGCATCAACAAATGAAGTTCTTCTTTCAGTAGCTCCTTTATTTATTGTTACCGAGACACTAGGATCAACTGTGGAACTATCAATCAATATCGTGTCTTTCTTTGCTCCCCTTAAAAAAAAAAAAAAATTTTCATTTTCAAAATCAGTTTAATGCGAAAAAAGAGTAAAATGACGATTTTTCTTTTGTTAAATAAATTAACGTACTCGAAAACTCCATTCGGACCCTGATAACAGTCCAAAACATGTTGATTAGTTGGGAGCATTGTTAAAACTACATCTACTTTGCTAGCTAAATCTGCTGGACTCGATGCTGTTTTGGCTCCATCATGTTTACTTTGTTCCATGACTTCTTCCAGTACATCGTACACAACCACCGGATATTCCTAAAAAAAAAAAAAAAAGGTAAAAATGGACGAAATTAAAACTAAAAATTTTTTTTTTTTTGGTTGAGTATACGAACGAAGTTAAGAAAAATTTATTATTAATATTTTATTTACAGTTAAATAAAATCATATCTGAGAGGGAGTTGATTCATAAATTGTGACCTTGAACTGATAAAATACGGCGCTAATACCAGTTATTAACATGAATCCAGAATTATGTTTGTTTTTGTTTTTTTTTGTAATATTTATTATTAACGGATGAAAACTTACATTTTTTAAAAGGTTGAGAGACATGGGACGACCCATATTTCCAATTCCTACAAATCCGATCGTTTTTTTCGTCGAATAACATCTTAAACCACCTATAAAAAAAAAAAAAAAAATTTCGATTTTAAATGAAATTTAATACGACTGACCTACATTAATATTAATAGGGGGGCCGGGGGCGGGAGAAAACGTATGAAGTGATGGAAACTGGTCAATTTATAAATAATTAATTTATTTATTGTAAAATAACAAAATTCAAACACGATTTAACGAGGATATTGACTGGTTAACTCTCTGGTTTGAATATCATGAAAAATTTAACACTACTCTTCAAGAAAAAAAGTTTTAAAAAAATATTTTTGTCTACAATATTTAAATTAAATCAGTTTGCGAATGGGGAGCCAAGTGAAATGACAATTATTAATAGCCACAAAAACAAAAAGGTCACAGTTAATTTAAATTTTTTTTTTTTAAATATTTTTCTTTCTCTCTCTCTCTCTCTCTTATCGATAAAACCTTTTTTACCTATCGGGCATTAACTGATAATAAATAGTAAATTTTACAATTCGTTAAAAAAATTAAATTTGTTTAATAATGTCGGGGGAAAAATAAACGCGGTAAAAACAAAAATTTTAAATATGAAATAATAATTTACAATTCGGTCAAATAATATTGAGAAATTTTCTTTTTGTCACGTGATAAAAATGATTTCAATGATGAAAATTGTGTCACTTACGGTCATACATACAAAAAAAATAAAAATAAAATTATCTATCAATCAGCCTTTGATTTTTCTTTTATTTTCTTTTCCTTTTAAATTTCACATAGAAAATTCCCCTCCCAAAAAAAAAAAAAAATTATTAAAAATATTTATTTATTAAAATTTTTCTTATCATAAAAATATTTTCTCTTTAATATTTAAAAAAAGTAATTAAATTTTATTTTAATTTATCGCATCAGACTATTTTTTTTTTTTTTTGTCATTAATATTTAAATATCAATTATTATTATTATTATTATTATTATTACATAACCAAGATATAATAATTTATCGAGTTTAAAAAAGAAAAATTTATATAATTTTAAACCGGTAATTTGTGATAACCTCCTCATTCATATGCCGAGTCAACCTGATTACAAAAATAAAATAGAGAGAGAATTATAAAGAAAAAGGACTTTAACCCATTATAATATAAAGGAGGTGTCACATGTGTCGACGGATTTGATATTTTCTAATCAGAAAATAAAACATTTACTGATAACGCTGGATTTGTACGGTTAAATCAACGAGATTTTTATTTAACAAAACAAACATTGTAACAACCTTGAAAAAAAAATTTTCTTCTTTTTTTTTTTTTTTCCTTCCTTCATTTTATTTATTTTCCACGTATAATTTTAAAGCTAAAAATTATTATTTATTTTAATCTTGTGACTTTTTTGCCTATGTGACACGATTATGCGTGGAAAAATTATAAATATAATAATATTATTAAGATAATCAGTAAAGAATTTAATGATAAAGGTCAAATGTCAATTTTCAGTTATTTATTTATTTATTTATTGATTATTATGACGATTATTATAATAAATTTTAAAATAATTTAAACCATTTTTATTTAAATTTTGAATGTTGAATGTTTTCATGATGATGATGATGATGAAAAACTTTTTGAACGTATCCAAAAAAAAAAAAAAAATTAAAACCCGCGAAATTTTTTTATCATTTCAAATATTCTCATGATGATAATAATAATAAAAAAAATAAAAATAAAACAAACAAACAAACAGACAAAAATTAACCTATTTTCTTTTAAGAATAATAAACATCAATAAAAATTTATTATTATTATTTACTTAAATATTATTATCATAAGCGTTAAAATTTAACAAGTAAACGCAGGAACTATTATTATTATTATTATTATTATTAGTTTTTTGACGTCTTGAAATATTTACGACAAAATAAAAATTTTTTCCCTATTGATTTCTAACGAAAATTTAACTTTTTGGCTATTTTTGTAATCTAATTTTTATTTTTTTTATTCCAAAATTTTTTTTTAAAACAATCAACCGTGACTATCGTTTAAACAAAAAAAAAATTCGTTAATAATAAAAACATATAAATCAATAAAACATAAATAAAAACAAAATCGGACATACGACGAACAAATAAAATTTGACAATTTTTATGTTTTATTACTCTATGACTTTTATTACTATTTTCTTTATACCATTTATTATTAATGTCGATAAGTTAATTTAACGACGTAATTTTCGAAAGATTTTTATACTATTATCATTATTATTACTCGAGAAAATGTTTTTGTGAAAATAAAAAAAAACGGTTAAAAAGAATGCGTCGAGTATATAAATAGAAAATAAATAAATTATTTTTTTGTTAAAATAGAATTTATTCAATGTAATCAGGTAACCTTGACAATTATTTTTAAATTAGCTGTGGTCGAAAGTTAAACGTTTAATTAATTTCATTTTTTGTTACGAATACAAAATTTTTTTTTCTTCTTTCCATTTTGCTCAACAATCAGTTTTATAATATTGTAATGTGATGCGAAATAAAAAAAATTTAAAAAAAAATTTTTTGTCTGAAGAGTTCACGTTTCAACCCAACCAGTTAGTATACAATAGTTTAATAACGAGTTCATTGTTTTCAATAATAAACGGTTTTTTCGATTGTTGTTGTTGTTGTTGTGATTTTTAAAGTGAAAAATTCGAAGAGTTACAAATGTTAAAAATAAAAAAATTAAATTAAAAAAGAATAAAAGTAAACAAAGTATAATTTACCTGTCAAATTCTTGTAGTGATTTTTATTAAACGAACAATTTTGAAATAAAATTCGACAAACCTGTTTGCTCGCCATGTTGATACTAACTATTGAATTCTAAAGCCGTTCGTTCAACGTTTAAAACATTGATTTGACCTCTTTGATTGTTTTTTCTTCTGCTGTAAAAAAAAAAAAATGTTATTTTATCATAAACTTAGTTCAAATTCATTAATAATTTACAACATTTTATATATGCATTCATGTAATTCAATTCGTACACATAATTATTTTATTAATAAATTTTTTTTTAGGGTTTGTGTCAATCAATGGAAATTTCCATTTGAATTTTTAGAAAAGAATTAATTAAACTAATAGTTTAAAATTAAAGCATTTTAAAGACGTTTTAAATAAACAAAAAAATAACGCCAATATACATTTTTATAAATCTTAAAATCTAAAATACAAAATTTATTGTCTCCATTTTAAAATGCTTTATGGCTTCTTATTTTATACTTAATTTTTTACAAAGAATATATTATTTTAACGGTTTTTTTGTGTTTTATGTCAAAAACAATAAAAGTAATAATTCATAAGAATATTTTTTACTCACCTTCGTTTCATTTCCATTTAAAAAAAAAAATATTTTTCAATAAGTATATGAGAACTCAAGAGGCATCCATTGCAAATCCAAATCCAAATCTGATTGATTGTTTTTTCCTTTTCTTTTTCAAATTTAACGATTCTTCCTACGACATGTTGTTTTTCATCCATTTAATTTTCATTAAATAATTGTTTAAAATTACTTCCAACTCTTTTTTACAATCAAAATTTAAATGTTTGAGTAACAACAAATAATGAAAAATCTGCACTTAACGGTTTAAGTTGCGTCCCCTGAGTTCTGGAATTCAAAGCAGAGAATTCTGTCGCCAATTTGCTAAAACAAAAATTTTTAAATTTTCGTTACTTCTTATTCACATATTAAATTTATACATTCAAAAATTATAATTAAATAAATCTTTTTTTTAAATACATAATAATAAAGTTAAAACGGATGTCATTCATCACATAATAAGGTACATCCATTTAAATATATTTATATATATTTATTTATTTAATATTAATAATAAAACTTGCCATTGAGATATAACTTTTACATATACATTATTTATATCAACAAGCACAGTTTTACTTTTTTTTTTTTTTTTGAAATGTTTTCGTGAAGTTGCGATGCAATAGAAACGTTTTTTTTTTAAAAAGTTACAAATTCAAACAATTTTCAAAACTTGGAAAAAATATAAAAAAAAAAATAAAAACCAAAACACGATAAAACATTAACATAGTTATTAAAACTCCGCCATGTTTTTTTTTTTTTTTTGAAATTTGACGAGTACAACGTATTTATTATAAAAATTTAACAAATAAAATTATTATCCGGTTACACAATATTTAAAAATTATTATTATTATTAAATTAACGTGAAACACTCAATTAATAATACAATCAATGAAAATTTTTAACGTTTTTTCATTTAATGAAAATTTTAATAAGTGTGTACACACAAAAACAGTTTTTTTTTTTTTTAAATGTGTTATAACTATGTAATATTTCAATTTAATAGTTTTTTTTTTTTTTTTTTGTTATCCGTACAAAAATATGCAATAAATAAAACAAAACTTGAGCATTTATTTTTAACAAAAAATTAAAAATAAAAAAATGCCAAATTTGATATTATTATTTCAACCCACAACAGCAAACACATCATTATTTATGTAATAAAAAAAAAAAGTTATTAATTTATTAACCGTTAAAATATTATTAACATTTATCAAATTTTATTGTTTTAATAACAATAGTTTAGAAATATTTATTTCGTTGTATATATTTTCTGACATTCAATGAAATAGGGGTAGTAGTAGTGGTAGTGGTGATAGTAGTAGCAGTAGTAGTAGTGGTAGTAGTAGTAGTTACATAAAAATTTATTAATAATTCAAAACATTATTGATAATGTAACAAATAACATTTTATGTAAAAAAACAATCAATCAGTCAAATTGTACATAAAAAAAAAAAACCGAATGAATGAATGAATGAATGAAAATAATTCACTGATTGAATAACAAACCCTGATTTTATTTTAGCAAAAAAAAAAAAAAAGGAAGCATCGCAACATACACTTTCATCATTATTATTATTATTATTTGTTGTATTAAACACCGAAAAATAATTTTTTATTTTATTTAATTATGGTAACTGACAAAAAAGAAAATGAATTATTATAGAATACATTTTTTTTTTTTTTTTTGCTTTTTTTCCTTTTTTATTATTATTAAATAATGAATGAGAATGAAAAACGACAAAGAATAAGAAAACATTTTCGGATATAATTAATAAACACATCTAGAAAAAAATTTTCCTTTTTTTTCCCTTTTTTCCTTTTTTTTTTCTTCGAAAAAAAACAAAGAAAAAACATATCGAAGTGAATATAAAACTTTTTTTGAATTGCAGCAAAATTTGCTAGAAATAACAAAATAATCCATCACATTTATTAATTTTCTTTTAAAACGATTTAAATCGAAATTAATAATAATAATAATAATAATAATAATTTTAAAATGAATTTATTAAAAAGAAAGATCGTTGGAAGACGCTTTCAAGTTCAAAGTTCAACATTTTTCTTTTCTTTTTTCTAAATATTAAATTTTATATGTATATAGAAATAAATAAATTTACCGGAAATACATATTAAAACGTAAAAATTCAATCAATCAATCAATCAATCAATCATCGAATTATTAAAAATTCGATTTGAAAATTTTTAAATGAAAAAGAAAAGAAAATTAATAAGAAAATTTACGGTTGACAACAAAAAAATTTCCTCCATTTTTTTTTTTTTTTGAAAAATAAGAGAGTAAAATAATTCACACGCGCGCACACACACACATTTATTAAATAAATATTATTAAATTGATATAAATAAACGTCATTGTGAAATTTTTTACTACAATTGTATTGAGAAAATATTAATAAATAAATAAAAAGAAAATTTTGTTTTTTTTTTTTTTTTTTTTTTTAACATAACGGCTCTCCTCCCTTCCTCCCTTCCTTCTTTTTTCAAATATTTGTACTAAAATTTAATTTTCTAACCGTTAATTAATTAAAATTATCATTATGGAATGAGATTTTAAAATATTAAGGATTTTATTATCATTATTATTTTCTAATAAAAGGGAAATTAACAAAGTAAATGACGTCAAAACAATTTTCTAAGAGAAAACAGAATATTTTTTATTTAAATACCACGAGAAAAAAAAATAGTAAAAAAAAAAAAAAAGAAAATTAATTTTTACCTAAACACATTATTATTATTATTATTATGCTTTATTATTTTTAATAAATTTTATTTTATTTAAATATTCTTTAACGAGAAAACCAAAAAAAAAAAAAAATGAAAATGAAAAAAAAAATTTTTTTTAATTAGTCTGCTGTTATTTACTCTATGACTGATACTGATCTTAATAATTAACGTATCGATTGACTAAAATTACCTCGTTTGTCAACAAAAAAAAAAAGAAAAAATTTGTTTGTTGTTTGTTGTTGTTGTTGTTGTAATAGTAATCGAGTCTTTTCCATTTCCCCTTCCAACTCAACCTTAAATTTAAAATTAGCAAAATAAACAAAATTTAAATTTTTAATTTTAAGGAGACGGAAACAAAAACTTATATATACGTATTATCATCATTTTCCTTATTATTTTTTGTTTGTTGTTGTTGTTGTTGTTGTTGTTGTTACCCTCAAATTGCTGCAACTCGTTTTTTTTTTAAATTTTAACCAGAATTATTATTTTTTAATTAAGGAAAAAAAAAAAAAAAAAAAAATTGTATATAAATTTTAATTTATCGCTGTTTTCTCGGCCTCGGTGGTCTGGATGCTGTAAAAACTGTATCATTTCCAGAACAGTGAGAAATGGCAGGATGATGATGATGATGATGACTTGAATTTGAGCTTCCCGTTCCTGCAGCTACTCGATTGTTTGGCACTGGTCTCATCATTCCGATTGAATGAAAATCACCTGTTTTTTTTACATTTTTTACTTTTTTTCAAGGTATTATGAAAACGCACTTTTTTGTACCGATTGTTTTGTTTTGTTTTTTCTTTGGCAAGAAATTACCTGGAACGAATCTTAGGCCGTACATTGACAAAGAAGACGAAAAATGTAAATTTGACGCCTTTGAATCTATGTTTAAAGAACCGTGTCGTGTTCTTTCCGACATTGATCTGCTGCACGGCATCCTCGCTCGAGGCCCCGGAGGTGGACTAGAACGGATTGCAGGTACTTGCTAAAAAAAAAATTTAATAGTACTCCTCCTCCTCCTCGATTAGTGACAAAAGAAAGAGAATGTGTCGAATAGGTTACCTGTTGTGGTTTTATCATTCCAAATTGAATTGGAGGAGGCGGTGGTGGAGCTCCGTGCTGCGGATGATATACGAGAAAACTCGGTGCTACCGCGGTTGCAGCGACAGCCGGAGGCGTAGATGGAGTCTGTGCTCTGTAGGGTATCGTTGAATTAGGAGCTGGAGCGTAATATGATGCCGGAAACATGGCAGTCGCACCAGGTGTGCTCGGTCTGAAATTAATGAATTCCTTTATAAAAAATCAAATATTTTTTTAAAAAGTTTTCGTTTGTTTAAGTTTTATTACACCGACATCATAGATTGACACAATTCCGATGAATACATCATTGGAGGCACATTATATGAATACACAGATGGAGTTTCGGTTGTATATTTTGGATGTATTGTTCCTGCTGGTAAACTTGCGGGTAAATAATATATTTGAATTTGAGATGAATGATTTGAACCCTGTGTAACAAAGGAATATTTTAATGTAAACGTAATAATAATAATAATAATAATAATAATAACGGAATGAATTTTAAATTACCTGTGTTTGACTAGTGTTTGCTGATGACGTCCAGTAACCAACCTGAGGAGCTGCATTAGATGCAGAAGCAGATTGATCGTTCCCTACATTCAAACCCACAAAATAATTACTTAATTCCGGAACGCCTAACGTTGGATTTGCATCCTAAAAAATAAATTCAAAAACAAGAATTTGTTATGTAAAAATAATCTGAGTAGACATTTTGTACTCCTTGTAAGGGGAAAAATTTCCACTAATTTGACAAAAAAAATTTAACTTACGTTTTGTCTTGATTCATATGCAATAGTGGCTGGTGTAGCAGTGGATGGAGTCACTGCGGCAACAGACGGTTGCGGTGGACCGACAACAGGCGTTCCATTACCGACGGGTGGCTGAACTATCCCGTAAGAATTGGCTTGTTGTCCAGAAGCGTAAACGATTGGCTGCGAATAAATTACTTCGGGAGGCATATGCATCGTTTCTCCAGTGTAAGGAGGTCCAACTGCGTAATTCATTGGTGTGACACTGAATTTCAAAATTACATTTAAAAAAAAAAATATTTATTTAATTTTAAGAAATAAAAAAATTTAAAAAAAAAAAAAAAAAAAAATAACCTTATATTAGAATTTAAATAAGCAGTTGAAGCTCCCGGGTGAGATCCATATTCGGAAGTATCTTGGACATTACCATTTGTGGGATAGTTAACTTGATAGGGTACCGTCGTGGTGTTTTGCCCTGAATATTCTCTTGCATCGTTTTGACCTCCGCTCGCCATATTTCCTACGTTTTCGTTATATATAACATTTTCACTTTCAGTTCCACTATAATTATTTTGAGCAATTTCAATCGGCATTGCTTCTATAAAATTAGAATATGATTGCCCAGAATTAGGGTTATTTTTAGAGCTTTCTTCTTGATAGAGTGGACGTTCATATTTTTTGATTGTTTCTATTCTGGCCGACTCCGATTGTTGAGTTTTGCCATCTTTGGTGGGTATTTTTTCACTATTTGTCATCTCCGGAAGGCTGGGAGAGGTTGATGAATTAATAAGCAATGTTGTTGTGTTATCGGTGGTAACATTAGAAAAAGAAGATTCAAAATTGACTGGCTTGGTTGTTTTCTCAGTGACAGCTTTCTCTTTTATCACATTTTCTGGAATATTGCTAGGTGCACCCGTACCTATTTACAAACAAAAAAAAAAAAAAAAAGAAATCTCACCATAAATTTTAAAACAAAAAAAAAAAAAAAATATTTACAAAAAAAAAGAAAAAATATTGAGATTGACCTAAAATAGGACTAGAAAGTCCAATAGTGGAAGTATTTTCCTCTATTGTTGGACATAATTTTATCGGATTGTCTGGATCGTAACGATACAAAGAACCATCGGGATTTGTGTATGGTTGTCCCGAAGCAGGATTAATTAAAACGGCACCGGGAGGAACCGCCGTTAATGAGGAAACTGCCCAAACGACTGTATTTGGTTCAGGCGAAAATGAACACTGAGTCATGGCCTGTAAATATACATAAAGTAACCAAATGATTCCAGTTTAAAAATAACTAAAAGAAAAGTTTTAAAAATTTCATATTCGTACCAAATTGGGTGATGGGGTTGTTGATGTTGTCACATCGGACCGAATAGATTGAGATTTATACCCGCTGCTTGATGGGCTCAGTCTCGTCGATGAAACGCTACTCGTAACTGAATCAGCTAAGAAATTAAAAAATTTGTAAAAATTTGAAATTTTGGAAAAATTTATTCGTAATAATAAAATAATTGTTTCGTACCTTGCTTAATTAAAGCACGTGAACTGCAAGAGCTCATACTGTCTCCTCGAGTCATTCCAGGATATCCTCCAAAACTATAACTTTTGGAAACTGAACCTTTCAATGAATTTGCTTTAAGCGTATCATTACTTTCAAATGATTCCACTTTAGAAATTCTATTTACTCTAAATAGCGGGGAGGGGGGGGGGGTAAAAAATTTAGTTTTTATTAATTAACACAGAAAGACCTGTCATTGGTCAAAAATCAAAAATTTTGTATAATTATTACCTCAATGCCGAATTTAATCTACCCCTTGCACTGCATATGTCACTGTCTGAACTAGACCACGCTTGAGATTCTTCGTGCCATCGTAATTCTTCGTGTGAACTTCTCCTGGAATTAATGTCGTGAGTGCGATAAGGGGAACACGCGGAAAATCCATCCTGACCACATACCCAAAGTAATTAGTTTTACAATTAATTAATTAATTTACAATTCAAAAAAAAAATGATTAAAATTTCATAAATGCTTAATAATTTAATTTTTACAGTTTCTTATAAGAGGAGAAGTATCTTTGATACAACTAATATATATTCATTTGTAAGTATTTGCACTTTCACAAGACCTCCTGTTTGCATAAAACACTTTTTTTTTTGAGGTCAATGTTATAAAGGTATTTTGCGTCAAGACTTTTTTTTTTTTTTTTTTTAATAGATCGTGTGAATTGGAAGCAAAAAAAAAAAAAAAAAAAAAAAAAAACAGCATGCATGTTTAATACTAACTACCTTCTCAGTTTCATTCAAAAAAAAAATGTGCGTAATATTCCGCGACATTTATATATGTACACATTTACACATTATACGCTTTGTCATAATTAAAATCTTTGCAATACGTCACGCATCATTAAAAATTTTCCTTCGTATTAGTCTCCCTATTATGGTTGCCGGGTATGAAAAATTTGAATTTAAAAACAAAACAAAAAAAAAATAATAATAATAATAATAATAATAATTTTTTTAGAGTATGCATCGCACGTGACGGCCTAAATTTCTTTTTTTTTTTTTTTTCCAATTGTTTTTTTTAGTAGGTCAGAAACATACGCACTTCTTTTATTTTCGTCAAAATTTTTAAAAATACACAAACAAACATTCCTTCTAAATAAAAATTTCCAAACCACTCGTGTTAAAAAAAAAAAAAAAAAAAAATTAATTAATTTATTAAAATAAATAAATAATTAAAATTTATAAAAAAAAAAAAAAAAGGGCCCTCGACCCTGTTATTGTTGTTAAAGTTTTTTATTTGTTTTGCCAACCCCTTATTAAAATATAAAATAGTTAATTATTGGTAATAAAAATAAATAAATAAATAAAAAAAGGAGGAGTCAGAGAGATAGTAAAATAATAATAATAAAACTTGAAGAAAAAAAGCTACCAGTATGTAGTATTCAGTTTCATTTTTTTTTCTTTCTGTTTTTGTTGTAAATAAGCATTAAAAAAAAAAAAAAAAAAAAAAAGAAAAAAGAAAAACATTTACATTTTTATTTACAAAACTAAAACATGGAATATATATACTTTATTTATTTACTCACATCGCGATTAAAAATTCGCTTGCGAGCTCTTTCATACTCCTCCTCTCTTTCTTCAAAACTCTTGGATCGGCGTGAGTCGCCGCTTAGCTGACGCTCGGGGGACTGCGAATACCACCCAACTTTACTTAGTTAACAATAGATTTTTTTTTTTTTTTGGGGGGGAGGGGGGGGGTAAATATTTGGATAAAATATACATTTTTATACAATTATTCATTTCGTTTGTTAACATACGATGAAAAGAATTTATTTAAAAAACGAGTAGCGAGCGCGATGCAACACACCAAGTCCCCTTAATATATTTTTTTTTTTTTTAAATTACTTAATGAAATTATGAAAAAAAAAAAAAAAACATTAATTTATAACCGATTTCTCCTCTACTTTTGTAAAAAAAAAAAAACAATTTTAAAAGCAAAATAATAAAGTAATGTGTAATGTTGAAATAAAACTATCACTCACCCTTAATTGCATTCCTTCTTCGAACGAACTGGAATCTCGTTTTAATATGCAACGTCTAGGCTCCTCAGAAAAACGAAAATCATCTCTAATAAGTTCACCGAATCGAATTTCTGGAAGTCGAGTAGAAGGCGTCACGCTAACAACTACGCAGTGTCCCGTCTGATCAACGTTGTGGTCCATACCGAAATATGCAGCAACTCTATGAACTAACATTCTCTGATATGATGACATGAGAGGAAATTTTTGATGCGATCTCCTGTAAAAAAGAAAACAAAAAATTATCAAAATTTTATTGTTGATTGTTATGACCAATTTTAACTCATCATTTACTTGTCTCTGATCAGCGAGATTAAATCTTGTTCGATTTGCAACAAAAGCATTCTATCTTTATAATTTCTATTTAATGTATCCGCGATAAATTGATTGAGATCAATCCCTGAGCTGTCGGTGTACTGTTCAGTTGAACTATCTAAAAAATTTAAATTTAAGTTTTAATAACAAAAATTTAAAAAAAAAAAAAAAAAAAAGGAAATGGGGGAAAGACGTTAAAAATGAAGACAAACCTCTAGATAAACACGGGCTGGAATTGTCCAAACTACCTTGGCTTGAACCTTGATGTCTTAACTTGTGCCTCGAATTAGGTCTACTAAGATTATTGTTTACTTGAAGACTATTACCACTTTGAAAACCGGGATTATTTGCCTGAGGCACAGCATTTCCGACCTTGATATTATTATTATTTATATTATTACTATTGCTATTATTATCGGTATTATTATTGTGGCCGTTGTTGTTGCTGACACCATTTACTGTTTTGTTAACGGATAACTTTTCGCTGTTTGTTGGTGTGTACGTAAGCTCAATTTTCCGAGGTGGAGATGTTTCTTCTCGAACTGCGTGACTTCTTTGCAATAATTTAACTTTAGGATTACTCTAAAAATTCATTAAATTATTCAAGCATTTTCATTTTGAGATTTTCAATAAAACATCTTAATCACTTTTAATTCATACCCGTAGTCTTTGAATGGATGGCATAATTCCATTTTCTGTTTCGAAACTTTCTTGTTTATTTATTATTTTATCCATTTTAGAGCGACTAGGAACACTGTTAGACTTTATTAAGTTTCTATTGCCACTTTTAAGAGAAGAATTAAGTGAAGCCTGTTTAACAGGAGGACTAACAGGTGGTGGAACTGGCAAACAATTAACTGGTGCAGTTATCGTATTCGTAGCTGCTGATCCCTGTTGCCCTACAACTGACTCATCTCCCAAACTCATTTCGTATTCTAAATTTTCTGTTTCTTTTTCTTCTTTAACTATTGTCTAAAATTTAAAATTTCCATGATTGTAACATCATAGTAAGAAAAAATTTCTTTACGAGTGTGAAAACAGAAAATTGCTTATACTTGTTCTATTGAATCCTGAACCAAACAGGAATTTTCACCAGTATTGCTGGCAACTATGGGAGATCCTTTATGAACTATTATACTAGGCACTAAAACAGAAGTAATACTTTAATACAAATCATATAAATTAACAAAAGTTTTAGACGAATTGATTCAAAGATTATTCAAAGTTTTCTCGAGTAAATAAAAACAAAATAAATAATTAATGGCTGCATGAACCTAAAATAGGAAAAATTATTTATTATAAATAGTAAGCAATTTTGTTTTTTTACCTTGATTTTCTTAATTTGAAAAGAAAAATTGCATAGCGTTTAAAAAAAAATAAAATTTTTCAAACTTAACCCACAGATAAAATTTATTCGAAAAATTAAAAAATATTATTTTTTAGTCGTTAAGTGATTTTAATACTTGTGAGTACGAATTTGACTATTAGTTTGATACAAAATAATTCAAATTGAGTATATTATAAATTAAAATGAGAAATTTTTTCAATGAAAATATTTAATAAAAATATACCAGGTATATTACAAGTGCTTCCTGTGCTGGTTGATTTTGATGGAATCTTTGATGCAACATCTTTTTGACTTATTTGATCCAGTTTGCCTAAATGTATATTATGAAAAATTCACCATTATAAATCTTGGCAAATAAATCTGTAACAATTATAAAAAAACAACAATGTTAACAATAATAAAATGAAGGAAAAACAAAATCATTATTTCTGGTGTAAACAAAATAAATTAAATAATCATGTTTAATCCTGAATTAAACAGGATTTAACTAAAATTCATTTTATACCTATTTGTTATTATTAAACACATTCTGTTTTTTAAATTATTATTATTATTATTTGCAAAATTAATTTTAAAATAATATTAATTGAAAAAAAAAAAAAAAAACAATTAACTCAATTGTAATTTATTTATTTTCATTGATTAAATTGTAAATTTAAGCTAAAAATATTATTAAAAAATGAACTTACAAATTACAAATTATTGATCAATAAAAAAAAATAATAATTTTATTTTAATTTTAATTTATAACCGTTTATTATTATTATTATTTTATTTATTTCATACCTCAAACAAATTTTATTTATTTATTTTTTTTTTCTGCTTTTATTAATAAAAAATTCTTTTTACCTAAATGAGTTTTATGAGTTAAATAAAAACAAATGAAAACTAAATTTCCTTTAAACTAAGACTTGTACAAAACATTGATTTTTTCAGATGTATTTTTGGAGGGAAGTGGAATTAACTATTCGTCCTTGACCTATAGAAAGCTGAACAAAAGATTTCCTTATAACCCCGAGTACAAGTTGAAGAAGAGTAGAAAATTTAAGGCAAAGAGTACAAAATGTCAGAAATAACAAATAATAAAAACGTAAGAAAAAAAAGGGTGTTTAATAAAGAGTTTCAATAATAAAATTTAACTCATTCCAAACGAGAAAAAATAATAATACAATTCTATCTTGAGTACGGTACGCCATTTTGAAACACTTGCAAAAATGATTCATCGAAATTTTCTACCCTAAAATTTTCATTTAATTTTTTAATGAATGCCAAATAAAACAAATTAAATTATTTTAAATTTATTCAATTTTTAAAAAAAAAATTATAAATTTAATTGTAAAAAAGTAAATTTAAATTCATAATTATAGACAAAATTTACCGGAATAAAAATAATTATAACTCCGAAAGGAATAACAAAATACCACTGTTTCTTAACCAGTAGCTTTTCATTTTGTTTTCAGAAGCGTCCACCGCTTGTCGCATTTTCTTGAGCTTTGATTCCCAAAATAAACGTTAATTTTAAATTTTAATTTTGCCCTAATCTTTCAAATATTTCATTTTTTTTTTTTTTTTTTTTAAATGTACCTTTAGAGTCGAAAAATTGTGCAATATTTAAAATAAACGAAAAATTCTTTGATTTGATTACTTTTGAACGAAACTTGAATTTAACGCATCAAAAAAAATCAACAAGCCATAAAGTGAAAAACAATTAAAAATAATTAAAATGACAAAATTTACGAATTATGTTGAACGACAAATTATTAAAAAATAATTATGAAAATATTTTACCAGTGCTGTAGTTATCTTTTTCTTATAAATTATTAAAATGTCAACGAATGAAAAAGAAATAAATAAAAGTAATATTTTTTTTTTTGCTGAAATTTAATGATGTTTCTAATGATAAATTATTCTGTAATTATATCTTTTATTCTTATTATTGTAATTACACATAATTATATATTGTTATACTTTTAATTTAATATTTCAAAAGATAAAAAATTATTGTAATTACAATTTAATAAATAATTTTCAGCATTTAATAATTATTAATAATAATAATAAGTACAGTTTTTTACTTTTTATAATTTAACACTTGAAAATATTTTCTCTTAGTGAAATTTAATAACTTCAATAAAATCATTAAATGTTATTTATTTAAAAATATATAGAAAAAGAGAAAATGAATATTAAATGCTATTAAATTTCAATTAAAACATTTCAATATTTGTAAAAAAAAATTATAATTTTTATGTATCTGCTTCATAAATATATATATTTGGCTAAAAGGAATTATTGAACGAGTGTATTACATCTAATTATTCATTTTTAAATTTTATAATATTGTTGTTTTAGTAATTAATTTTAAAAAAACAAACTTTTCATTGAAATAATTTTTAAATATTTTTGTTCCCAACATTTCTTTTTTTTTTTTCATTTAATTTATTTTTTTACGAATTATTTACATGAAGATTAAAAATGTTTAATTACGGCGCGTAGCTTACTACTCTATGAAATTAGTCATCTAGTTGTTTGTTCTCTATGCTAAAAGATTTTGTGCCTAGTCACAAAGTTATAGCATGAAACTTTTTTAAACAAATCTAGACATAAGTTTTTCTTATTTATAATGAGTTTCGTTAAAATTATTAATGATGATAGCCATTTTCAAGCGGAGATGGCCACTGCTGGCTCTAAATTAGTCGTTGTCGACTTTACTGCAAGCTGGTAAGTTTCATCCTTTTTAGGTTACATTTTAAATATTATGGTGTAATTTTACATAAATTTCCCAAGTACTTATCAAAAATATGTTAAGTATTAATTTTAATTAGATAAAAGGTTATTATAACAAAATAACAAGCTTTTATCTGTTTTTGTTTACGCTGGAAGGAAATATTAATTAGCTTTACATTATATTATTAAGTTGGATTGTAGAAATTAATCAGATCTATACTATTAGGTGTGGTCCATGCCAAAGAATAGCTCCTGTGTTTGATACACTATCAACTAAATACCCAAAAGCTCTGTTTTTAAAAGTTGATGTGGATAAATGTCAGGAGACTGCTGCTAGTCAAGGGGTGTCAGCTATGCCCACATTTATCTTCTTTAAATCGAAGGTAAAAAAATTATATCGATAACTAAACAAAATGAACTTAATTTACTTAATTGATATTATTTAATGTTTTAGACTAAAATTGATAAAGTCAGGGGAGCTGATCCTGTAACTCTGGAATCTAAAATAAAACAATATTATGGAAATGATGATGGGGATGTATGTGATGTTGCTGGTCATATGGATTTGTCATCATTTATAGTTAAAACTCAATGTGAATGTTTCAATGAATCTGATCAACACCCTTTTGCTAACACTCAGAATACTAGTGGCTCTTATTTAGAATCAGATTGTGATGAACAGCTTATTATGTCTGTTTCATTTTCTCAATTGGTAAAAATCCATTCGATAAAAATCAGGGCACCTCAAGAGAAGGGACCGAGAAATATCAAACTATTTACAAATCAGTCGACAACACTTGATTTTGATCGTGCAGAATCAGGAACTGCTGTACAGGAATTAGAGTAAGAAATTTTCATAACATCACCTTACATATTAAATATTAAAAATTTTTATAGATATTTTTAACATATTATAAAAACTAATATAATGATTGCATGCAACTATAACTTGAAAAAAAAAAAAAAAAAAAAAAAAAACTTACCTTTGCAATTTGAATTTTTATGCGAAGCAATTAATTTTAAAAACAAACTTATTTTAATTTTATCTCTAGATTAAAAATTAAATACAATTTTTTGTAATATATATACTTAAATGCTATTTTTAATTACTTTTTTTATTTTTTTTTTTTGGTTTTTGCAAAAATGTTTTTTTGAAAAAGAAAAGCAAAAAAAAAAAAATAAGAAATGAATTATTTAGTAATTTGTTTTAAATTTTTTATTACTCAAGGTTTGAGTAACAATTTAATGTTCTTATCAGGGAGTTGAATGAAATCCCCCAATCATTAACAATTTTTTTTTTTTTTTTTTGGGTGGGGGATTTTAATTCGCCGCCGGGGAAACTTTATTTCATTCATAAATACCCATTTGACATCTGGAATTTTAATTTTTATTTCCCTTTTTTTTTCTTTTCTTTTTGATTCCCGGGAAATATTTCATCAATATAAAAAAAAGAGTTTTGCATGACTCACAAAAAAAAAAGGGAAATACCCAGTTTCTTCCTTTTAACAAAAAAAAAAAAAAAAAAAATTTGTCAGTCAAACAATTTATATGGTTTATAAAGTATATAATGTTTAGTAAAGGGTAATTTAAATTGACATTGCATGACTTTGTATTTCCTGTTGAAATTGTATAAAAAAAAAAAAACCAATAATGAAAAAAAAATTCGTGACCCAGGTCGTTTTCTTTTTATCTTTCATCCCTCTTTTTCCTACTTCCTATTATTTTTATTTTTCTAGGTCAGTTTTTTTATTTTGCATTATAACCTTTAGTTTTCAATTTATATATTTTATTAATTTTTATCACGTAAATTATTTTTTTAACTCATTTGTAAAAAATTATTTATTTAAAAAATAATTTTTTGTTTTAGGCTAACTCCGAATGATCTTGATGGCAGGCCCATTAATCTTCGTTTCGTGAAATTTCAAAATGTACACAACATTCAACTTTTCGTCAAAGATAATCAAACTGGATCGGAGACAACGGTAATCGAATACCTAGGATTTATAGGTTCACCTGTTTGTACCGTAAACATGGGAGATTTTAAAAGAATCGGAGGAAAAATGGGAGAAGGACACGAATCGTTTCACAGTCGCTGATGTGCATTTGTTTTTTTTAAAAATTATTTTATCATTATTTAATTCAATCAATATTTTCATTAATTTAATTAATGAAGTTAATAATAAAAAAATAAAAATTGCTTTATAAATTTGTCATTCTTTGACATTCTCATCGTTTGTCATTAATTAATCGTAAAAAAAAAAAAAATACTAAATTTTCTGACATTTTCCTTTTAGTCAAAAATATTTATCATTAATTAATTACTGTAAACCAAAAAATTATTTAACAAATAAAAATACAATGTAATTTTTTAAAATCAAATGTTTTGATTTATTTATTTAAATGTTTCAATTTTATGGCTTGTTTTGCACAACTTTTTACTAAAAGTTTTTTTGTCGATTTACAAAGCTTATTTTAAAATTTGTAAATTATGATGAGTTATAAACAATACAATATAGTGCAATTGAGCTGGATGATTATATATTTTTTTTTATTTTTCAAATTAAGAAGAAAAATTATTAATTAATGTCATTTCAAGTATTTAGTTATTGTAATTTGAATGTGCATGTGATTCTTCTAATCAATCATATTTTTGATAACTTCCGAGATATTTCAATACTTTTAATAATCAGTTTTTAAATTATATAGAAAATGATTATTATCAATTATTTTTGTCACTATCTCTATTAATTTCAAAATTCAATTTATTATCTTCGTTAGTATATCATTGAAAGTTATCCTTTGTTTTAAAAGCCCGGTAATTTTAAAAAATATAAAGTTTACATTTATTAAGTTGGCAATAATAGAAAACAAAAAGTTTTGACTGACGTCACGGTATCATCTTCCTTTGATAAATAAAATTGAAACCGGATTGTGATGTATTTATTTGTTGATATAAAAATAATGTTAGCCTTCTTTTCAATACTTATGTATATAACATGTATTCTTAGAAGGCCCATTATTATACTATCGAGTTCGACGAAGGGAGAATCTTTTTAAAATGTCAAAATCGAAGCTAACTAGATTATATTCGTGTGCTTAATGTCACGGTCAAAAGGCAAGACAGCTGATAGACCGGTCCGATTGAAAAACGATGATTTTTCCTGCTGTCTTTAGGCATATTTGAAAAAAAAAAAGGAGTTTTCATTTAATTAGTTAGGATCGGTACAATGACGGGTAAAATATCGAACGCGGAGAAAAACATCCAAACATCCGGTGGTAAAATGAATTCGTTAATGGGTAAAATCTCTACAACGAAATCGATATTATCTTATCAAAATGGCAGTGCAGTGAAAGTTGAAAATATTGAATGTTCCAACGACGAAACTAGATCAGGTGAAGGTTTCTCGGAGGATGCATCAACAATTGATGAAACCTTTCAAGAAAGTCAAAATTTAAAAAGTGAATGTTTAGATTTATTAAGAAAAAAATTGATCTCGGATTTGAGTTTGTCTGTTTTTACGAGTGACCTTGAGAATAAGTTGACAAAAATGGATTCAATTGAAATAAGTAAAGAAAGACAATCAGTTGTACAAAAACTTATCGTTCAAATCGGTCAATTATCAGATGCTGAAAAACTTTTGCTTTATTTAAAATTACCCAGTTCCACCAGCAGCCCATTTGACCCTCTCAGGCAGTAAGTTTTATTTTTTGTGTTTCTTATTCGGATGCTTCTTTTTTTTTTTTTTCTGGCCTGCCACCATTTCTATAAAACTCAGCTTTTTTTTTTTTTTAAAAAAGTACTATCTTTTAAATACATCATAATATTTATTCCAAGTATTGATGACATTAATCAAATGAGGAAATAAATAAAACTCGGATAATAAGGGCTTTTTTTTTTTACAGTTCTAAAATTATTCGACTATTGCTAACATTTTATTCAGATGTAAACTTTTAAAAATTTTCTTTTTTAAACATTTCAATAATTATTTACTTAGCTCAATGCATTCTAAAACTCATAAAATTATTAATTAGTTAATAACTAAAAATTTTTCTAATTGTCGCTAAACTTTTTAATCCTGAATAACGAAGGTAAATGCGAATAAATTTTAATTTTTCAAGATTTACATTCTTTCTATTGCACTGCAACATATTAATTTTTATAAAGCTGCATGAATATTTTGAGTTATTGTATTTTACTATTAAATTATCAAAATATAAATAATTACCCCCATTAATAAATCATTTTATTGTTGTGATGAAAAATTCAAATTGCAATAAATCAAATTTTTTTTTCTTTTTTAAGTAAAAATAAATACTTGGCAAAAGGGAAAATTTATTTAATTTTAAGGCCTTTATCACATAAATTAATAACCCATTTTAGCATGAGGGAAAAACCTAAAAGTTTTAAATTTTACAAACTTTTACAATAATAAATTTTGTTATTGGGAATATCACAGTCAAATAATAAATAATGATTTTAATTAAAATTTGTGAAAGAAAAACTTGATTTTAAATTATTTAGATTATGTAATAAAAAATTGGAGTGGTTAAAAAAAAAATAAATAAATTTTTTCTAAATTATTTTTATAAATAAAAAATTTTTCTGTTGAATTTTTTTTCTGAACAAATAAGAATTAATTTATATTTTAAAAAAAAAACTAAGGAAAAAAATTTTTATTGCGATTATAACCTTGAAACCTCCGATCATAAACCTGACTTTAATGCTTAAATTCTTTTAATACAAAGCAAAAAAAAAATAAAAAAAATAATAATAATAAAATTTTCGTTAGAATTTAAAGGATTCTTAATACAACTTCATTTTGTTTACTTTAATTTTCAATAATTTTTTAAATAATTTTTTATGCATTAATTTGAACACATGAAAAATGCAATTTTATGTCAAAAAACGGGTAAAATTTTGGGGCTGCTTTAAAACAGAAATATGGGTTTGCAATTAATAAGTGTTGGGTGGATGGTGCTTTGGAAACATTATTCATAAAATACGTTATTAATTGTGTAAAATTTTTAATTTAAAAAATTTCACACGTAAACCCTTTTGCATAAAATAAATTTAAATTAAAAAAAAAAAAAAAAAAAAAAAAACTTACCATACTCGTGTAATTAAAAAAATATAATATCATGGCAATTATTTAATTACTATTATTATTATTATTATTTTTACACACACACGTTAACATCTGCAACCGATAGTGTAAAATTCATTGAAAATGTCGCCTAGAAAAAGAATTTTTAAATTAATTTTTTTTTTTTTTGAAAATGTAGGTAGGCCGTTAAACTTACCAGAGATTTTTGAAGTCTTCTGTAGGTTTTTTTCTTTTTCGAAATTCTTCTTCAGTGCTCTTTTCTGAACTTGCACGATGATCGTGTCAGTTTTAGTTCTTCTTTCCCACTATCCACCAATAATCTTTTATACCTTTTCGTTTTCTGCAGATTATTTTTTGGCTGAAATTAAGGCATTTTGTTATGTCAGGATTTTAAGTTTTCTATTAATTTTAATATAATTAATGCGAGGTTTCTGATTTTACGTTCAAAATCAGTTTTTTAAGTTTAGTTTTTGGTTGCGATGGCATTTAATTGCTAAATTCAATTGAATTTCTTGCTTTTAAGGTCCTAAATTTCCACAATATTATAAAAAATTTGACTGTTTGTTTTTTATTATTTCATATTACCATTTTTCTAAACCAATAAAATTTTCTAATAGTTTCAAAAAGGAGAAAATAATTCTTTTGTGGGTATCATTAAAATTTTTTTTTTATTATTCTATTCCTTAAGAATAGAAATTTAAATATTTGTCATAAATTTTTTTTACGTAATATTTTTTTCTTAGAATATGAACCTTCCTACAAACTACCTACTACTACTTGTTTTTGTTTCGCATAATAATAATAATTATTATTTTTAATTATAATATCAGTGTGAAAAAAAATAAAAAATTATTAATTCTTTTTTTTATTTATTATTAAAACGTCATCCATAATAATGCATTATTGTTTTTAAAAAAAAATTATTTACTTTTAAGTTTTTATCGAGTTTTTTAATTATTTGCATTTATTAAAACAAATATTTATTTTTTTTTTTTTATCGATTCCAATTATTTATTTTAATTTATTATTAATGAATAAGAATTGAAAACAAAAAAAAAAAGTAAAAAAAATTATTTATTTATTTAATAATTTGTAAATTTTTTCAATTAAATAAATCACGTTTATGTTAATTATTTATTTTAAAAATCCCAATATTTATGTATGATAATTACAAAACTCTAGTAGTTAATTGTAAAACAAATCATATATCAATTAGTTTTAATACATTAATAAAATATGCATCGGCATCCATTGCAAAAAAAAAAACCAACAACAACAACAATAATAATAATAATGATTGTGCATAAAATTGCGGGAGCAAGTTTCCTGAAACAAGTCCATCCGGAGGAAAAACCTTGACATTTTCAAACAATTAATGAAAACAATCGTAAATTTTTTTTTATAAATTAAATAAATATTTGTACGAGACATAAAAAATTTATTATTGGTTTATAATATATATATATATTTAATTTGTTTTAAAATCGTGTAAACATGGACAAAATATATCGAATATATAATCACACGAAAACATAAAAATCTTGACAAAAAAGTTTGTTTATGTATAAATTGTTTATAAATGTTATGAAATCTAATTTTTGGCACCAACTGAAATATTGTTAACATCGATTAACATTTTATATAATGAATAATATTAAATTTTAACGAAAAAAAAAAAAAAAATGTTTCTGTTAATTTATGTTAATATGTTGTGTTATGTAAAACACGTTGTACAGAAAAAAAAAATTATGTTCGAATTCATTATTTTAATACAAATATTATTTTTTTACACGTTTGGTTGTTTCGTAGGTTGTTTGATAAATTTCTTGATTTATTATCACATTTGTCAGATTTTTTTTTACCTTTGATTTAATAACGTAACCTCGGAATATTTAAAAAAAAAAATAAATGGCGTTTTATTTTATTATTATTATTATTTTTTAAACGTTTACTACGTTTGATATAGTTTGTAACGAGTTTTGAAACTCCTACATGTTTTGTTTTAATTAAATTATTACTCGATTTTTTTTTTTTTACAAATTACAAATGCCTTTGAAATTCCAGTCGTGGTTTAACAAAAAGGAAAAGAATTTTCATAGAAAATATATTATTTTGTATATGTTTAAAGTGTTTGATTGATTTTAATCTGTTTACAATACAATTTATAAGCCGTAGCTAAAATTAAAAATAAATGATAATAATTGATAATCTCGTCGTAAATTTAAATACAATATTGATCGAATAAGCATTTATACATAAATTTTTATTGGGTCTTGACCTCGATGAATTTTTTTTTTTCTCTTCTCTCTTTGATTATTTATAAAAATGTCGTTCGTTAAAACTAAAAAGAAATTTTTGTTTTTTTTTTTGTAAGGCCGCTTAACCCGTTAGGAAATCGTCAGGAAATACAACAAACGATTGTTTGGATAAAAACTCATTTGGAAGAAGATAGCGAGATCTCGATTCCCAAACAAGATGTTTACGATCAGTATTTGTAAGTTAAAAAGATAAATTTTTTATGAATTACTCTAGAAAATTTTGTTTTTATGAAAATTCAGTTTTTTTTTTTTGATTTTACAGAAAATACTGCGAAAACGTAACAATGAAACCTTTATCGACGGCAGATTTTGGTAAAGTTATGAAACAAGTTTATCCGGGTGTCAGACCGCGACGTTTAGGTACGAGAGGAAATTCGAGATATTGTTATTCTGGAATGAGAAATACCAGTAAATTACCGACGCCGGTATTACCACTGTCAACAAGTACTGAAAATTTAAATTCTAATGGCGACGTAAATGACGGTGAGGAAATGTTTTGTGTCACGAAGCCGTAGATATCGGAAAGGTTTCGTTGAAATATTCAAACTAGAAAAATATTTATTTACTTATTTAATTTTTAAAGGTACGACGAATTCATCAAACGAAGAAAACAAATTTAAAAAAATTGAAAAATCTAAAAGAAAATGGACATCACAAAATTTTCGAAATGAAAAATCCGATCAAGTTAAAACACCGAAAAAAATTAAATCGGAAAGTGATGGCATCGAATGCAGGAAAAGTGCAGATGAAAAAGTCAACGACGACACCGGTTTGGAAAAAATAAAATGCGAAAGAAAATCGGAAAATCCATTTAGTGCCTTTGATTTAGAATTTTCTAATGCCTTTGAAAAATATGTTAAAAAAGATGTTAAAATAGATAAAAACTCGAGTTCGAATTCTGAAAAAAAAAATACAACCGATCATTACGAAAAAGAAAAAGTACCTGAAATTACGGAAAAACAAATTAAAATAGAAGAAAATGGGACCACGTCAAATGAAAATCAAACGTCATCGTCGAATGAGAAAGAAGAAAAAGGAAAATCGTCGAACAATCGTAAAACGAATTTAAAAACGGAAATTAAAAAGGGGGCAAAAATAAAATCGATGAAATCGAAACCGTTAAAAAAATCCGCTTCTCTGTCTAAAGCCACGAAAAATTACAAGAAATCATACGTTCCGATACAACCGAAACCCGTCGAAGAATCAAAATCATTCTGCGTTCGATTCGAAAAAAACAACGTGTATTCGGAAAAGAATGAAAAAGGGGGAGAATCGAAATCAAGTGAAGGGGGGGTAACATTATTAGACGAAAACGATTCGCAAGAACCCGAAGAGGAAATAGCTCGATATTTTAAACATTTAGACGAAAATGAATTGAACACCAACAGGCTCGTCGATCAAGCCGTGAAATTTTTCAATACGACTCCGGTGCAATCGATGGATAACATCTCGGAAATAATGGCGAATCCGACAAATCCTACGCCTTTAATCGGAAGCGGAGATTCCCTCGGTCAACCTGTTCAACAACAATTTCTAAGAAGTCAAAGCTGTTTCGAAGTTCATCGGGAGGTATTCAATACGGAAGAGAAAAGAAATTCTACGATGCTTACTCGGAGTCAAAGCTCGGTTGAACTTCCCACGTCGATCGATCCTGTCACCAATCGCGAAACATCCAATCCGGGTTCAGAAGACAAAAAGAAAAAAATATCACACCTGAGAATACTATTGGAAAGATCGATATCTTCGGATTCGAAAAATCAACAATATCCGTGTTCAGTGAAGAGTCACGGAAATTTATTACATAATAATAATAATAATAATAATTCCGGAATCCCCGACACGTCGCCTTCACATAATTTCATATCAAATGCGAATGATTGTAATAAAATGGAAGGAACGGAAACAAATTTGTTGCCTTCGAATGTTAAAGTTGTAGATAGAAATAAAATAAAATTAAACGGGTTTAAAGTACTGAGCAAGGGGCCTTCATTTGTACCGCAAAGTCCAAACATGCGAACAAAATATTTTAATTTTACTCCGATATCGCCGGGACCACAGTCTCCCCATCATAAAACACCATCATCATCCGCGAGTCCATTTTTAAGTCCGGGTAACACGCCAGTGCCTAGATCGAAACAAAATTCTCAAAACGATAGTTTTTTGTCACCGTTGGGTAGAAAATCCGGGGTAGTTCGGGTAGGAGTCGAAGGACCGACAAACGAATTTTTCAACGATAATAATAATTTTAATTTTTCTAAAAATTTATTATTAGGAAACGGATCCCCGATTATTTTGCAAGGTTCGAGACCTAGAAGTTACTCGTCGACAAATTTTTACAAATCGAAAGTTAAAAGAAGTACGTCGAAACCTCCCCCCTTCACGTTCGATAACTCTCAGTCGAATTTTCCCGGGAAAAATAACTTGCAAATAATGGAAAATGCAAATTTTCCACTCAATTCTCCATTTTCCATAACGACGTCATCAACGAGTTCAAATTTCATATCGAACGAATCATTTTCAATAGAAGTTCAAAAATTATTAGATAACAATTGTAAAATGGTGACGGGAAATCAAATAGCAACGATACGATCACGTTCGGTACCATTGAATAGAATGATAAGCGAAAGTTCTTGGATCCCCAATCAATGTTCTTCTATTTACACCGATTTTTGCAACACGGTTAATTCTGTCGAGGGTGGTAAATTATCAGGCTTGATAATGCCCAACAGCACGGTGGTAGACGGTTCGAACAAGTCTCTAACATCAAATTTATCATCGGGTTTCATCAACGGTGATGAAATATCGAATTTAAGTTCGTCCGGATCACTTAGCAGCGAATTATTTTCGAGTGGTACCACTACGTCGGTTGTAGGAACGCCACAAATGGAAAATAAATTTTTCGTAAATGATTTTGGACGAAGATCGAACGAGGATAGTTTCGTAGACGGTCAATCTTTCAATAATGACAATTCAACATTTTCAAATAAATTGGATTTGAATTGCGGGGGGGAAGGGTTCGAAACGACATTTTCAACGGATGCCGATACCGGGATAACGGATACCATAAAATCGTACTTGCCAGATTTTGAAAATTTAGACGATAATACAGGGGATCACGTGGAAAATGTAGAAAACGATAACAACGGAAACGATAGAAAATTATTTTTAAACGAAGGGGGTAATGAAAATATAAAAGATCCAGTAATAACATCATTTAAACCCGTTATAATGAACGATTTATCAAATTCTCCAGGTTCTCCAGTTCTTAATAATTTTTTCACATCAAATACAACAAAAATAAACGATGAAAGTCAACAACACCTGATTGAATTTTTCAATTTCGAAGATTAGTTTCATAAATAAAAGATTATTTTGTTATGAAAACGATTAGTAAACGAATTTTAACTAAAACTAAAACTTTTTTTTTCGCATATTTTTTTATTTGTTTTTATCGATAGGAAAACAATCTGTGATGGAAAAAAATTTTTAATGAGTTTGATTGAGACTGATATTTAAATTAATTTTTTTTTTTTTAAATGGGGGGCTTTAAAAAAAATTTTTTTAATATAAATTTTACCGGAAAAAAAAAAAATTTGTTTAAACAATTTACGTCCGACATTTTTTTTTTTAAAAAAAAAAAGAGGGGGTTTCAATTTTTTTTTTTTTTGTTGCAATTTATAGCTTTAGCTGTATTTATTATTATTATTATTATTATCGAAAAAGAAAATGAGGGATGATTATTAATAACGAATTGAATAGTTTATCCGGGATATTTTACATTTCCACGATTATTATTATTATTATTATTATTATTATTATTAAAATATAAAACAAAACGTAATTAATTAAAACGCGGATTTAAAAATGGCGTCTACGATTCGAAAACAAAAAACAAAATAAATAAATAAATAAAATTTTTAAATAAGGGAAAACTGTAATAATAATGATGATAATAATATTAGTTATTATCGACATAATTCAAAAAAAAAAAAAATTATCGAAATGATAATGATAATTGTAAAAAAAACGTGGAAGTTTTAGTTAAGCCCTCATTCATAAAAAATTTAAATTCCCCCCCCTCTTTTTTTTTGTAAAAAACTGAATTAAAACTATATATAAAATAATAATAATAATGATAATATTATAATCAGTGATGTATAATAATGATGATGATGATAATAATAATAATAATTTTTAGTAGAGAAAAAAACAAAATGAAAAACAAAATCCAAAAAAAAAAACAAAAAAATCAAAGGCTGGTATTTAATTATTTGATTATTTTGTTATTATTATTATTATTATTATTATTATTATTATTATTATTATTATTAATTTGATTTTTAATTACTAAAATATATTTGTCCGGTTGTTGTAAATTAAAGTCTCTTAATAAGGTTTTTTTTTTTTCTTTTAGAAATAAAAGTACAAATTCATTTTCGGTTTTATATATATTTTATGTATATATATGTGTGTGTGTGTGTGTGCGTGGTTGTGTACTTGTGTATATTTTTGGTACCTGAAAAAAATTTTCTTTTCTTCTTCTTCTTTATATTGTAATTTATAATGGATTATAATAAAATGGCGGAAAATGTCGCAAAATAAATAAATAAGAGTTGTTGTTATTGTCACATCATGCATTTTATTTTATTGTTGTTAATAATATATGTTAATTTACTTTATTTTTTATTTAATTTTTAATCGTGCGACTTTGTTTATTATGATAATGATGATAATAATAATGATAATAACTGGTTACGATGTAAATAAATAAATAAATATGCGACGGGAAATGTGGGTGGCGAAAAGTGGACTTTATTTATGTATGTATTTACGCATTATTAAAACGATTACAACATAATTATTTTTTTTAAATTGTCGAAAATTAATGATAATAATAATAATAATAATAGTAATAATAATGTTGATGATTATTATTATTATTGTTACTATTATTGTTTTCGATGCGTTGCACACAATAGGGCAAACAAAATTTTTTTTTTTTTTCGTGATAATATTTCGATGTATTTTTTATATTATGTATCGGCGAAATCGTAAAATAAAATTATTTATTTATTTATTTAATAAATAATCACGATAATAATGATAATGATTTTTATTATTCGAAATTAATTTGTTTGTACAAAAAAGAAAAAATAATTTTAGTTATAATTATGTATTTTAAAAAATTAATTGATAATTTTTATTATTATTTTGTTTTAAAATCGAAATTTATTATTATTAATTATTATTATTATTATTATTATTATTATTATTTTTTTTTTTTTTGAGTTTAATAAATTTGAAAAAATCGTCTTAGAGTGAAATCAATAAATTCGTGAGGGGGAAAAAAAACCCGAATTAATAAAATAAATTATTATTATGATTATATTTACTTATTTATTTGTTTATTTATTTTATGTGCTCAACAATAAAACAATTTTTAATTAAATAATAATAATAATAATAAATATTAAAAATTCATTTTATTATTAAAATTTTATTGTGCGACAAAAACAAATTTTAAATAAAATATTATTAAATAATAAAATTTTTTTTTTGTTTTTTAAAATTTCCATGAGTGTGTTAATTATTAATAATTTAATAATCATCACTTACGTATCACATTTATGTATTTATCATCTGAAATTATTTTTTTAAAAAAATTTTATTAACTTATTAATTTTTTTTATTTTATTTCGTCACGAAAGCGAAAAATCGGACGAGGTTTTATTTATTTATTTATTTATTTACGTAAAATGATAATAAATAAATAATTAATAATTTTTTTTTAGTTATTAAAAAAAGTGATAAAAAACTTAAATTATTATTATTATTATTTAACCTCTGGTTAATAACCTTTTTTTTGAAAAAAATTTTAAATTAATAAAATAAAAAAAGTAAATATTAATAAAATATTATCGACAGTTTACCGAACACGATTTTACAAATATAAATAAGGTTTTTATGAAAAAAAGTTATGAAAATAAACGTTAATAAGTTTTTTTTTCATTATTATGCGCGTTATTATTAACTTATTATTATTATTAATTCATAAATTCCTGCCGAAAGGTTAAAACAAAAGGAAAAAACATATCCAAAAAACCTTTTTTCTCAACAAAAAAAAAATGTCGAGTTTGTTTATCGCGCAATTAAAGTAAATTTAATAATAATAGTAATAATAATAATAATGATAAAACATAGTTTTTTTTCGAAAACGTAAAAACAATTCGAGGACGATTTAAGACCGTAATAATAATAATAATAATATAAAATGGACGAGGGTATTTTTTTTTTTTTTTTATTTTTTTTTTCACGTTTCTTAACGAGTCTTCAATCCAATTCAACGTTTTCAAATTCACTCAACCATTTTATTTTCTGATTTCAAAATTTCTAACTCAATTTGTTGGAAAAGGATCGAATGTGAAAACCTTTTCCTAACCTTTTCGTAAACTAGTTAAACAAATTAACCGTCTTCCGTCGTGTCGCCTTCATTTTTACCCGACTTCCCAAGCGAATTTAAAACAAATTGATTTCCTCTCTCTGTCCCCCCTCCTCCTCACACTCCTCCTCTTTACACCCTTTCTCCTCCCCTCTCCCATCCTCCATCCCTACCCCTCCCCCTCAACAAAATCAAAAAAATAAAATAAAAAAAAAAGGTTTCGTACCTTTTTACCCTACCCCCTCTTTTTTTTTTAAAAAATCACCTAAAATCGCGTGAGAAAAAATTTTAATTTTTTATTTGTTACAAAAAGAATTATTATTATTATTATTATTATCATTATCATCACACGCTGTTATCACTCATATGGTAAGTAAGTAATTGTTATCAAATTTCGATGTCGAATAAGATTAATAATAATAATATTATTCGTCATTACCTGTCTTTCAGTGTTCTTAAATAATAAATAAACGGTAAAATTTTTATTATCATTATCATCATCATGATCACGTGATTGTTGATTGTTTATATAAAGTTTTTACTATAAGTTACTTACTATAAAATAAATTTTATAGCGACTATAAAATAAAAAAATTGATTTAAACTTTGTTTCTTTTAAAAAAAAAAAAAAAAAAAAATTTTTTTTGTTTGAAAGGTGGAATGAATGACGTAAGAAGGAATAAACGATAAATTTTTTTTTATTTTACGAAAGAAAAATTACCGTAATAAAAATAATAATAATAATAATGATACGTATGTTTTAAAAAAAAAAGGCGTTAGTCGATTGTTAAAAAAAAAAAAAAAAGGAAAAGGAAGAAGAAAAATAAAATAAATAAGACGGAAAAAGAAAAAAAAGAGTAAAATAGATTAGTACGTGATGCGGAATATAAACGTCATCTAAAACAAAACAAAATCGAATTTGGTTGAAAAGAATCGCGTTAAACGAAGCGTTAAGTATCAGTAGCAGGAAGGTAGGGAAGGGAGCAGGCAGGGAGGCAGGGAGGCAGGAAGGTAGGTAGGAAGGTAGGAAGGTAGAAAGGCAAGAAAGGAGCAATCAACGAGACAAGAAATTTTTTTTTTTTTTTTTTTTTTACAGTTTACTTTTCCATGCTCTTTAACTCCAGCCGCGCCATCGAGCCATCCATCCATCTATCCAGTCATCCAGCCAGTCAGTCAGTCAGTCAGTGAGCCAACCCTTAGCTTTCTCTCCATTACTTTCTCTCTCTCTCTCATTAAATTTTTTTCTCTCTTTCTTTCATTATTTCCCTTGTAATTTTTTTTTTCTCTATCTTTTTTTCATTTTCTCTCACTCTCTCTCTTTCTTTTGTTTCTCCCTCTCTGTTTTTTTTAAAGTTCTGCGGATACGTAATGCGATTCTTCATTTAACTTGATTTTTTTTTCATTTTAAAAATGCCTTTAATTCTTGCATTACAATTTTATCCTTTACTCTCTCTCTCTCTCTCTCTCTCTCTTTCTTTCTTTTAATCTTTTTCTTAACTCTTTCCAATTTTTTTTTCCTCTCAAAAATTTTATTTTCTTAAATTATTTATTTAATAATAATAATAATAAGAAAATAATTTTAATCTTGTAATTAAGAATAAGTTTAAACATTTCACGTTTACACGAATAATTATTCTTTAATAATAAAAATAATAATAAAAAAAAAAATTTTCCAGAATTTTCTTTTTGTTTTGAAACAATAATTTTTAACTAAAAATTTATTTAGCCATTTTAAAATTTCGATGAAAATTTCATCGCTGGAAATGAGGGGAAATTTTTCGAATTGTAAATAAATAAATTTTTAATTAAAGTAATTTATCGCCGTTACTGGATAACAAATAAAAAAAAACGTAAAAGAAAAATTATTATTATTATTATTATTATTATCGTAGTGTGAGAAAAATATACGTTGATTATTGAATAAAACCATGTTTCGAAAAAAAAAAAAAAATTGGAACAAAATTTTGGGAGAGAAAATAAAACACAAAAAGTTTTATGGAAAATTTATTTTCACGTGCGTGTGCGTGTACGTGTGCGTGTGCGTGTCAAAAGTGTGAGTAAATGCAAAATGAATTTTTTGTTTTTTTTTTTATAGGATTTTTACAGGTTCTCATTTTCACATTTGAAGATGTAAGTCATGAAAGGGTAACATAAAAATTTACCCTCTTGAAATTTATCCCCTCGGATCCTCCCTCCATTTTAGCTAAAAGGGTTTGCATAATGTAAAAAAAGAGGCGTGGCCTGGCACCTTTCCACCAATAAAAAGTGCCGCGACATTTTATTGTTCTCAAACGAGTCTCTAAACGTTATTTACTTCAGTTTTTTTAAAAAGTTCAGTTTTTAAAAGATAAAACTCGTGGAAAACAAAAAAAGAAAAATTTTAAATTTCTATAAATTTCTCGTTTTTAGATTCAACTTAAAAGAAAAAGTTTAATAAATATATTACTTCCGGTTTTTTCCCTTTTCTCTTATTTAATATTTATTAAAAATAATATTAATTGTAATAGTAATAATAATAATAATAATAATAATAAATTTGCGAAAAAAAAATATATTTTGGTTTTTCCTAAGCAAATTGGTTTTTTTTTCGACTTCGTGTTATTTTTGTTTTTTTTATAAGAGATGAAATAAAAAAGAAAAGCATAAAAATTAAAACTGAACATTTTATAAAATAAGTTAAAAATCAACCCCTATTAAATCCCACCCTCTGTTCATTCAGTGTGCGTTTCGTTAATCTCGTAAAGGAGATTCTTTCATTCACATATTTAACGGATGACCAAATTCATCGTTTTATTTACTTATGTAATCAAATAATACGAATTTTTTTTGTTGCTTTTCTCAGTTTCGAATATGCCAACTTCACGTACGCGTTACTTATTTTTATAAAATCGCGGGATTGATAAGGAAAAGAGAAAAAAAAAAGTTCGATATGATATCCGAAACGGGAACACCAACAACAACAACAACAAATACAATGACACCAACCGGTACTTTGATAACTACCGACAAAATAAATAAATGCGATTCGTCAAAATATAAATCGAACGAAGAATCCAACGGGATGTCGGATAAGAAAAATATAACGGTTAAAACAAAAAAATCATTTTGCATAGATGCACTTTTGGGTAAAAATGAAAATAAAAATTTTTTCGGGTCGGATTTTAATGTAGGAAATGTTAAATGTTCCAACGATATAACAAAATGTTTTCGAAAAACTGCGGAACAGGTAAAAGATGGTGTCGGTGGCAGTGGCGGTGGCGGTGATGATGATGACGATGATGATAATGATGAAAGAAAAAATTTTTTTAATGTTTTCGATAAACGCGGACAACAGAAAAGTAAATTATTTTTTGAAAATGTTAATCGTGCCGTTGGAAATAAAATATCTGACGGTGGTGAAACAATTTACGAATCAATAACTGGAAAATATACGACGAAAAATTTAGATTACGATAGAGAAAAATACGACGATGTGGAAATGATAACGGATAATAAATTAAATTTTTATCCAGAGAGAATCGTGGAAAATTTATCAGAATGTGAAATGCGTAGAGATTGCGATAATAGCAGAAGTCAAAGTCCGTTTTCTGGAAAAACAAACGAAACGAGATCGAACAGTCCGGAATTATCGGATAATTCAAGTCCTCCAATATCTCCAGGTAATGAAAATGATTTTCGTAATAATTTAAACGATTCCGGAGAAGATTTCGGTTCGTCGCAAATTTTTCCACGTCCCGGATTACTTATGACGACGACGACGTCGACAACAACAACAAATAACGGATCGCAAAATTTTATGAATCAAAATTCGAATATTATGCTGGGGTCCAGACCGAATATCCAGCAATTAAGGCCTCACTCTGCATTTTTAGCTTATTCTACACCTCATTCGTTTTCATCTGCATTTCATCCTTTGAATTCAAACACCGGCGGAAGTGTTAATTCTAAAATATCTGGAACGAATTCGACTGGAATGAAAACGGGAATATCGTCAAACAATGGGACATCGATATTGGGTTTAAATACTGGAGGAAGTCAACACCTTCATCACATGCAATTGGAATGGTTGGCAAGGACTGGAATGTTTTATCCAAGACTTCCAGATTTATCAGGTATTATTTATCTAAATTTCAATTTTTCGTTCCAGAATATAAAATTTTGATTCCAGCAGATGATAAAATTTTAGCTTTGATTTCGGTTTATAATTAATTAAAACTAAGAATGATAAATAACTGGAAAATTTGTCACTTTCCCGTCAATCTTTTGGCAACAATTAAAAATTTTTTTTTCTACTACTCAATCAATCAATCAATCAATCAGTCACTTTTAAACTAAAAAAAAAAAATTTCTCGATCAAAACCAATTCCAACATTTTAAAAACTATAAAAAAAATTTAACGTCGGCAGTTTTTTCTTTTACCCAATCAAATTTTAAATTAAAAAAAAAGGAAAAAAAAATTTCCCGTGAAAAATTGAATTTTTTTTTCTTGAATTTTCCAGGAAAATGTCTTAACGTCCTTTTTTTTTTTAATTTACCCGTCAAATTATTTCACTTTTTTTTTCTTCTCCAGTTTTCAATTAAGTAAATTTTATATTTTTTACTTTATGATTTTCCATTATGATAAAAACATTTTGGAGACTCAAACTGGACAAAATTTTTCAAAACCGGATATTGATATCCGGATATTGTTAATCGTTATTTACACGATTTCTTTTCACGTAACAAATAAATTTTTACTTGAAAATTAATTATTTAAAATATGCACGTTTCGAATAGCTAGAAAAAAAATTCCACCCTCCGGAAAAAAAAAAAAAATTTTTTTAGGGGATGAAAAAATAAACAATAATTAAGTATTGTAAAAAAAAATTTTGATTTTAAATCTAATCCACCCCTTAAAAAAAAATATATAAATATATGAAAAAAAAGTAATTTTCAAATGTATTCTAAACTTAAAACGTGAGGAAAATTCAAACAAAAAAAAAAAAGGAAAATCGTTGAATATGATGGTGGTGGTGTCGGGGGGGGGGAACGAAGACGACGATGGCGATGGTGGTGGTGGTGGTGTTGATGCCTGAGAAAATATTTGAAAAAGGTTTTCTTTTTTTTTTTAATCCATTCAAGCCGTAAACTCATCTCGTTTTCCATTCATCCCTTATTCCCGCCCCCCCATTTAAATCATAATTTTGACTTAAGAGTTACATTTCTTTGGATTAAGTTTTCCATAAACGTTTTTTTTTTATTTTTCAACCCCTAAAAGTGTTTTAAATCATTTTACTCTCTTTTTGTGCGTGTGAGATTTTCTTTCATTTCAAAAAGAAAATTTTAATTTAAATTATATAAAAATTAAATTTAATTATTATAAAATATTTTATTGGGAAAAAAAAGAAAAGAGCAATAAAAAAAATAAAATAAAATAAAGGAAACAATTGAAAAATGTTCTGTAGAAATTTTTTTTTTTTTTTTTTGGAAAGGTGGCTGAACCGAGTAAAACGTCTTAAAAGAAAAATTTATTTTCTCTAACCCTGGGGAGAACTCGAGAATGAAAAGCGATAATACGAAAAAATAGAAAGTGGAAGACAGATCGCGAATCGTAGAAAGGGAAAAACCAAGTTGAAAATGAAAAAAGATAAAGATACATTGGTAAAATAATAAAAAAGAAAGAGACGACGATAAAATATTTGAGAAAAACATAAAGAGAAAGAAAGAAAGAAAAGAAAAAGACGGAGAGAGAGAGAGAGAGAGAGAATGAAGAGCAATTAGCTAACTTAATTTCTGCTCTTTTCTCTCCCATTTACTCCCACAAATGTTTAAGAACCCATCAAAACCTTACTTTTAACTTATATCCAAAAAACTTTTCCTATTCCATAATTTACTCTCCCTGGAGGGAAGAAAAGTCCAATTAGCTCCCCAACAATTTTCCCTTTTTTTTTTTTTACTCTTTCTTTTTTTTTTCGTTCGTTTTTACCATTGCCTCGTTGTTGTCCTTCTTTTCATCCCCCAAACACCACCACCACCATCGCCGCCATCATCATCGTCGTCATCGTCGTCGACTTTCTCATCTTTACTTTTTCTTTTTAATTGTGGGAATACGCATCCCTTTGATAATTTGAAAATAAGCCAATGAAGTGTTTTTCTTTTTTTAAAGGGATGAAAAAGTAAAAAAAAAAATAAATAAAATATAAAAAGGGAAGGAAAATTTTACGATCTTTTCGTCGACTATTAAAAAAAATTTCAGCCATCATTTTTTTTAACAATAAAAACAAAACTATTATTATCATCATTATCATTATTACCATTATCATTATCATTATTATTATTATTATTATTATTATTATTATTATTATCTCTTCACTCGTGAATGAAAAAAAAAAAAAAATTATACCGCGTCAATTTTCCTTACGATAACCTTATCCTTTTTCCCTTTCTCTCCATCTCCCCTCCCCTTTCCACCCCCGAATTTTCTACCCTTTCGTCCGTAGTTTTTTCACCGTTTATTTTCCAAAAAGAAAACATGAGTCTTATTAAAATGGATTATGTGGTTTTTAGTAAAATAAACGAAATTTCGGATTAAATATTCGTTATGGTCGAATTGAATAAAAGGTAAATTTTCTTCTTCTTCTGTTTGTTTTATAATAAAAAAAAAAAGGTACAAAAAAATTTTCCCTTGTTTTTTATTAATTTTTACCACGTTAGAAACGTTTCCAACGGAAAATTTTCTTTCTCTCTCTCTCTCTCCTTTCAAACCGCATATTCTTATCGTAACCGAAATGTGTGTGCGTTGTTCACAAAAAAATTTTCCAGACGTTGTTAAAAAAAAAAAAATGGCAACATTTTGTGATCCGACGGAAACAAACATTTTAACAAACACGACAAACGAACGAGAGAGAATATTGTAAAAATCAACAACAACAAGAAGGAAAATAATTTAACCTGATTAGAAGAAGGAGCTTACTTATTATAAAAAGAGAAATGAAAATAAAGGAAAAGAGATAAAGAGAGAGAGAGGGGGTGAGTGAGTGAGTGAGGGGGAGGTGAGGGGGAGGAAAGAGAGAGAGAGAAGGATGATAAGAACGAACATTAATTTTTTTTTTGGCTCTCTTATGTTTGAATTTGTTGACATAAAGAATTAACGACTCCGTAAAAAATTGGACATAAGGGGGCGCAATCTGTTTATGATGACGGCATAAAATTTTTACTTTGACGTCACAAAATGTCGCGCGATTACGGTTTACGGGGGAGAAAAAAAAACTTTTTCTTTTCCCGTCAAAACGATGATTCTTCAAACCTAAACCTTAAAATTTAAATTAAAAAAAAAAAAAAAAACATTCGAATGGTAAACGTATCGACCGGGGAAAACTATACAACATGAACCTTATTTAAGTTCAATAACGATAATAACGTAATCATCATTATTATTATTATTATATAAACAAATAAATCAAAATGTCGTCCCATCACCTGATACATAAATAACATTCGACACGTTAAAGTTTAAATATAAAAAAAAAAAAAAAAAAAAAATTAGGAAACGATTCGTTTTGGGTGTGACGGGTGGTATTCATTTAATATACAAACACAGAAAAACGTAGAATTGTCGATGGGGAAAACGAACGACGGGGTGTGGAAACCGGGAGTGGGGACGAGGGGGAGGGAAGAGGAGGAGGAGGAGGTTTGCCGTTCATATATATATATATATATAAATATAAAATGGCAATTCCCGTAGGCGGAATGGTGCGGTATTAAATAAATTAGATAAGTGTTTATTTACACATGGAATTAATCATCCCCGATTTTCCACCCTCCACACACACACACACACACACACCCATCACGACAACAACAACGATGACGACTCATTTCAATCCGGTCTAAATTTATCGCTAACTTATGGGTAATTGTCAAACGAATAAAAAAAATAACCGCCGTATGTCACTTTTAGCCTCAGCCATCAGTTAACAATAATAATAACAACAACAAAAAAAAAAAAATCGTCTGCTAATCTACTAAAAATTTTTTTTCCAATTTTTTTTTACTGATGTTGTTGTTGTCGACTTTTTTTTTGTTTTTTTTTTCCTACAAACTAGTTATTATTATTTAATATTCATTTTCGTATTCTCTCTCTCTCTCTCTCTCTCTCTCTTATTAAAAATTATTATTATTTCTAAAACTCGCGACAAAAATTTAAAAAAAAAAAAATAACATCAATCACCCTGGAGTAAAAGATAAAAAAAAAAAAATCACTTTTGATAAGGGTTAGGGATGAACCTGAGGGTTTAGTTTGGCCACATGGGCTCGTGTGATTATTATTATTATTATTTTTTCCTTCTCTTCTTTTATTTACGCTCACAAATTGTAGTAATAATAATAATAATAATCTTTATTTGCATTCAACTTTAATAATAATAATAATAATTATTATTATTATTTATAGCACCCATTATCAATTTATATCACTGTTTTTTTTCCTTTTTTTCATGTGTAAAACTAAATTGTTTGTCACCTGTCAATATCATTATTATCATTATTACGTATCATTATTATTATTATTATCATTACTTAGGAAAAAAAATTAATTAATATTTTGTTTTACCGTAATAAAATTACTTAATGATAAGAGAAAAAAAAAAAATAATTGACGTCATTAGGATATAAAGTGTTTTGAAACTGTGGTAAACTATCGGTTACGGATAAATTATCAGGTATCAGGTTTTGTTTTGTTTTGTTTACGTCACGATTTTGTTTCCCTTATTTATTTCAATAAAGCAAAATTTTCATCCCTTAAATGTTTAAAAAAAAAAAAAAAAAAAAAGAAAGAATTAATTTAATTGCCGGTTTGGATAATGCGAGCAAACAAGTCGTCATCATCATCATCATCGTCATACCATGTAATAAAAAGCATTTGTCGTGAAATTTAGTTTGTCCTACAAATTTCATTGAAATCAAATAAAATAAAAGGACTCGATAAAAAAAAAAAAGAAAAAAAAAATTTTCCTTTTGTAATGTTAATGCAATCTTATTAGCGTTGTATTGGGGTGGTTTATAGGCAATAAATAAATCCTAAAAGATAAAGGGTGTCTCCATGTGGTGACAACTCTTAAAAGGGGTTGAATTCATCCGGTTTTAAATGGGAGGGAGGAAGAGGAGGAGGAGGAGGAGGAGGAAGGGTAAGAAAAAAACCGGGGATGATGATAATAATTAGCACAAATCATTTGTATTAAAAAAAAAAAAAAAAAAATTATTCAATTGTTTGATTTGAAAATTTTTTACTTTTATTTTTGATAGAAAGAGAAAGAGAAAGAGAGAGAGAGAGAGAGAGAGAGAGAGAGAGAGAGAGAGAAAGGGAAACGGAAACGGAAATCGTTTCATTTTTAATCTTTTCCAAAAAAAAAAAAAAAATACAAAAATGATTTATCATAAATTAAATCGATGGGTCGACTTTTAGTCATGGCATGTAATGAATCCTAATTTTTCTAATTTACCACCACCACTTTTCTCATACCCACCCCCACCCCTTTTCTTTTGACACGTCGTTTTAAACAATGAATAATTTCAAATCTTTTTTTTTTTTTTTAATCCACCCTTTAACCGAACAAAAAAATAATTTTCCCCTGTTTATTTCTCGCACATGTTCTCACATTTAAACACCACCATAGTTATTTTTATGTATCTATTATTTATTTATTATCGATTTGTGTAATTTTCAGGATGCGTACCTGGAAGTCATGCACTTTTGGGAAAAACAAGACGACCAAGAACGGCTTTTACAAGTCAACAATTATTAGAATTAGAAAAACAATTTAAACATAATAAATATTTATCAAGGCCGAAACGATTCGAAGTGGCAACATCGTTAATGTTAACGGAAACTCAAGTAAACATAAATTTTCCTAAATTTTCTTATGTAAAAAAAGAAAATCTTATAATAACGGTTGTTATGCGTTACAGGTGAAAATATGGTTTCAAAATAGACGAATGAAATGGAAAAGGAGTAAAAAAGCACAACAGGAAGCCAAACAAAAAGAAGAATGTAGTCAAACAAAATCAAAATCTTTAAATTCACCCAACATAACGACAACAACATCCGGTGGTGGAAAATCATGTTTGATAACGACAAAAGACTCCAAAGAAATACGGATGAAAAATTCGGAAAATTTAGATATTCGAATCAGGTATCCGATGAACAAAGATATATACGCCTCTCGTGGGAACGAAGAATTTATTGAAAAAAACGAAGGAACCGGAAACGGTTCATCTTCATCATACTTTCAACAATCCCGTGGAGGGTTAAATTATCCTTCTTTGGATTGTAGAAAAGGTTCTTCGATATCATCATTTTGTGATAAAAATTTATTTAAAAATGACGAGGATAACGTACAAAGTTCGGAAGAAAGTTTTCAAAGTGGAGAAGGTAAAACTAATAATAGTAATAATAATAATAATAATATCGACGATGGAAATTTTTCATCATTGACGAGATTAAAAGGATTCGAACAAATTTCAACAGCGACGAGTAGTACGACAGCAAAAAGATTTTACGTTAATATTAATGATAATAATAATTGTAACGAAGGTTTATATAGGCCTTACGTCGTGTAAAAAATTTTTTTTCATTGAAATCTCATATTGTAAAAAAAATTCTTTTTACGTTTCCGGTGTATCATGTGCAATTAAATTTATTTATATATTTACATAAATTTATTAATAATAATAATAATAATAATAATAATAGTTCCTAAATTTTATTTTTCATGTTTTTTTTTTTTCAAATCGATGTTGTTGAGTGTTTTTTAAGTTGATTGAATAAAAAAAATTTGTCGCCATTTAAAAAAAAAAAAACTATTTAGAGTTTGTAAATAAATAAATAAATAAATAATTAATTAATTGTCTTTTTTATTAATTAATTAATTACCATTTTCCTTCCTTTTTTAAAATTATTATTACCCGATAATTAATTACAACCGATAAGGATTAAAATTAAGTAAAATTATTTGGAAAATTTTTTTTTTTAAAATTGATTTGAGCCACGTTTCCGTCGTCCTTCCCCCTTTCCCCTTCTCCCTTCCTTCCCCACCATTTTTTTTCGTAAACTGATATATATTATTATTATTATTACCGTAATAATTAATAATTTCTTTTTTTATTTTTCTAAATTTAAAAGTCAAAAGTTACGCTTTAAAAACAAAAAAAAAAAAATTTACGCTTTTACTTTTTTCATCCTTCCTTAAAACTTTCATCATTATTATTATCATTTTCATTACCATTATTATTTTTCATTATAATTTTTATTATTATCATTATCATAATTAATTATAATATAAGTAAAAAAAAAGAAAAAGAAATTATAAATTTTAAATTAAAAAATTTGAAAGTTAAAGTCAAAAAAAAAAAATTTTTTTAAATCACCTTTAAGAAAATTTTTTTTTTTTTTTTTTCCAATTTCTAATTTTTATCATTATCATTATCATTATTATTATTATTATTATTATTATTATTTTGTTGTTTTACCCCAATAAAAAGAATTAATTTTGGGGATGTCGTCGTGGCAGCATAAGAAACCATGTGGAAAATAAAAAATCAGGGGAAGGGAGAAAAAAAAAGCAAAGGAAAAAAAGAAAAAAAAAAGAAAATACGATGATTTCTCTCTCTCTCTCTCTCTCTCTCTCTCTCTCTCTTACTCTCTCTCTCTCTCTCTCTCTTTCTTCCTCTTTTTCCTTCGTTTTTTTTTTTTTTTTGGCTGTCGAGTGTGAGATTAAAAAGAACATCACAGATCATTTATTCATGAGCTGTCGTAGTTGTTGTATCAAGCTTTTACTCAAATTGCTTTTCATTTCAATCAGTTAAATATTTCTTAAAACGGATTTACAGAAAGAAAAAAAGAAAAGATTATTTCAAATGAAACGACGCTTTAAAAAAAAATCTCAAATACTCTATAAAACAATAATAATAATAATAATAATTTTTCTGTCATTTTGTAAACCTTTTCTTTCAACAACTACAAACTATAATTTATAGCAAAATAAATTACCAAAACGTTATTTAATAATAAATCATAACGAAATAAAAATATTTTCTCTCTTTTTTTATATAGTCTATAAAGTTTTATATCCTTTCTTAATAATAATATTAATAATAATTACTATAATTCACATATAGTCTCGTATAGTTACGACGTATAAATCAAACTCTCAAATTCAATCATTCAAGGAAAATTTTTTTTCGAGCGTCAGTTTTATTGGAATTACCTAAAGATTTAAATTTAACGTAAATTTTATTTTATTTTATTTTTGTTGGGTGATTTAAAAAACATTCGAAAAATCGGCCATTTTTTATTTTTTATTTTAAACCATTGATAATTTTCAATAATATTGGATGATTTGGGAGTGAAAACGACGTTGTAAAATGATAATATAAAATGAAAATAAATAAATAAAATAAATTTTTTACAAGTTTGATTTTTACCTTCCATTTTGTTTTTTTGTTTTTTATTACACTTTGTTTTCGATTTGATTTTTTTTTATTTGAATTTAAAATTATACGACCGCATATATATAAATAAAATTTTCAAACAATTTTTAATACTAGATATCAATCATTCAGTGTCAAACAAACAAACAAACGAAATTAAAATTGTTGTTGTTGTAGTTTGCTTTTTAAATTGTTTTACGTTTTCCCGCCATTTTTTTTTACGTATCAACTTTATCAATTATTATAATAAATATAAATGTATATTAATTAACGTTTTAAAAAATTATAAATTTAAAAAAATTTAAAATTATAATAAGAGAGAGAGAGAGAGAAAAGAATAGAAAAAAAAAACGTCGAGAGAGAGAGTGAGAGAGAAAAATTATAAATTAGAATTAGTGAGTGAGTGAGAGAGAGAGAGAGAGAGATATGGAAATACATAAAAATTCATTTTAATTGTTAATTTATAACCCAAATAATTAATCAAATTTTCAAGTTGTAAGATGAAAATAAAATGATTTGTTAACTTTACAGCTTCTCCGCTAAATAAGAAAATTTTTCATTTTGCATATTCCCATTGTGCATGTTGTTTCCATTTATTTCCGATTAACCCTTTTTTTCTTTTTCTTTTTTTCGACGCTTTAAATTTATACGAGAGTTACGCACACCCATACATTTACGCATACGCATTATTAACAATAAATTCTTTCGATGGAAGAATCACGTGGTATTAAAAAAAAAAAAAAAAAACTAATATTTAAAAAGAATGTTTCGCTCGTCGTACAACGCTTTACGTTACGTCATTCGTTCATAATTATCGATTAAATTAAACCGTTTCCGGTAAATACGATCACTTCCGGTTTATCGATTTTAAATACTCACGAAGTCGAAGTTTTTTCCAATAAAAAAAAAAAAAATTCAAGAGATATTAATTAAAACTATCACCATTAGAATTTTTAAAGGGAAAAATTTAATCAAAAACAAAATGGCGACCGATTTCGTGCATTGAAAATAATAATAATGATGATAAAAAGGGTTTAGGTAAAACAAGAAAAATCATCGAAAAGGTGAAAATTGTTAAACAAGTTAAGAGTGGAGTAGTTAATGAGACAATGAGTGAAACAAAATGGCGGCTCAATTTCCATTTTCCGTATCATCTTGGGTTTCATCGGTGGAGCTTTTTGTTAAGGGTTGGTTGGTAAAAGGGGAAAGAAGGGGTGGTTGGAAATTGAAATCATTGAAAAACAGGGTGAGCACAAACTTGTTTAATTTTTTTTTTTTTTTTCATTATTCCCTCGACATTTTTCTTCTTCCTTTTTTTTTTTTTTTAAATTTTAAATTATTTATTTATTTATTTTTTTAAAATTCAACGTTGCGACTAATCGTAAACAATAATAATAATAATATTTTAAGGGGAAAATGTTTTTCAACCTCCCCTCTCCTCCTTTCCCTTCCTAGATTTTTAAGGCGTTGAATAAATTTTTTTTTTTCCAGGCTAATAATTAATTATATTATCGTAAAAAAAGCTTTTAATATCAATAATCAATATATACATTGATATGCATTAACTCTTTTAGAAAATGATAAATTTAATACATTGATAAAAATAATAATAATGATAATGATAATAATAATAAAAATAGTAAATATTTGATCGATAAATTGATTTTTTTTTTCCATAATCCATTCATCCATTTTTTTTTTTTTTTCGTAAATATATAAAATTCATTTATAAAAAAAATTTTTTTTGAGATCACTAAAAGATTTGAAATAATTATTATTATCATCATCATCATCGTTTTATTTGATGACACGTGACGTCATAAAAAAAAAAACCATTTAAAAAAAAAATAGAAAATTTCCTTTGTTTAAATAATTTAATTTAAATTACCAAAACGATGACTTTCGTTGTTTCGACCGATTAGAAAATTTTTCAAAAAATGAGGAAAAGTTACCGGAAGTTGATAAACCACTTCCTGTTCAGGTACGAAAACACAAAATTTTCAAAATGTAAAAAGAAGAGACGGGCAATACGATTTTTAAATAATACGATTATTAAAGACCGAAAAAATTTAAAAATTAAATTGTGACGTAATTAATAAAAAATACAAATCAATAATAATAATAATAATAATGATAAAAAAAAGGAAGCGAAAAAAAGGTTTATACGATAAGATTTTGTTTCGACCAAAAAAAATACCACGAAAAATAAAACGAAAGGAATATATATATATATTATTAAAAAATAAATGAAAATTAAAAAGGAAAAGAAAGGAGGGAAAGAAGAAAGGGGAGTAAAAAAAAAACAAAATGGAGGGAAAAGGAAAAAAAAAAGGAAAATGAAAGAAAGAAAGAAAGAAAAAAAGATGAAGATTAGAATTTGAAGTTTGGAGGCATGTTGTAGTTGGTGTTCTCTCTAATTAGTAATGGTCGGGATTAAAGTGGAGCTTGGGGAGCTATTAGGGCAGTTAGACTGTTAATTAAAATGTTTCTCGTAAACTTTAGATTAATGGACGCTTTGGGAGCACGAATGGGGAGGCCTTTTTTATCGGGACACTAAAAAAAAAAAAAAAAATTTTTTTATTTCTTTCTTTTTAACCTTTATTCATTTATACGGTTAGTCGTCGTTATCACGTTTGTTTTTTTTTTTAATATTACGCTTAAGTTAAGTAAAATGTTTACGATAATGATAATAAGAGTAAAAAGAGCGGGGAGGGAGTGAGTGGGGGGGAAAGAAGGGGGGGAAAAGTAATCCCATTGAAAAATGCCTCTTTCTAATGAAAATGGGAGGTAACAGGAATTGATATGAGGCTCCGCACACACACGCACACGCACACACGCACTCGCATTCCTCCTCTTTTGCTTTTTTCTCATTTCAATTATCCTTTCGTCCTTTTTTCCCTTTTTTTGACGTCATTAACAGCCAAGTGGACAATTAGCTCACTAATCGCACCTTTGGGTATCTTTCACGCAAGCGCCAATTTATAATCGCTCCCAATTTTTCTTTAATAAT